TACAGTAATAACAGTTGGGAAGCTCCTGCCCCCAAGAACACAAGGCTACCCTCATCTGCCTAGTACCCAGATGCACCTGGGCAGCTGGAGTGGCCGCCCGGAGAAGCAGGTGTGGTGTGGGGAGCAGGTGTGGGCATCCCCACTCAGCATCTTCCCCCCTGCCGTACCCTGGCCTTGTTTTCTGGCTGATGATTGCTTTATTACTGTTTTGAGTCAGATGTAATTCTAGCGTTTTCTATAATCTTGATCTTTTCATTGATACGAGATCTTTACACAAAGAATTTGTATATAGAATGATTAGAACCCACCAGCACACATCCCCAGGCAATTAGAACGTTTGAAATGTAGTACAGCAATTCACATCCCTCATTTATTACTTTGGAAAGTGTTTTGTGATTTTTCTTTTTTGGGGGAGTTGCGGGGGGGTGTGTTTACAAAACTCAACAACAATTCTCATTTCCAGTTGCAAAACACGAAGCCATTTTGAACGGAGACAGATGGCGGTTAAATGAAGTTTAATTAAAGAATGAGCGCGTTGAATCAAATCACTTTACAAAGTGCGGCGCACGCTCAGAGTCTTGAATGCTTGCATAAACAGCATCTGGAAGCCTCTGCAGACGAATCTAGGAAGGTGTTCCCAGGGCTATCCCGGAGCACAGGAAGCAACGGGCAGGTCTGTGGAGCCTGACCACAGCTCCTGAAGTTCGGGACCCAGGAGGTGGGGCTGAGCCATGAGACCAGATCTTAGAGGAAGTCAGGCGTGGTGACACACCTGTAACCCCAGCACTTGCGAGGTGGAAGCGAGAGGATCAAAAGTTCTGTCTGCACCATAATGAGTCTGAGGCCAGCCTGGGCAACCCAGGGCCCTGTCTCATACAACAAGACTGCTTTGGAGGGGTACCCTTAGTTAATTTTTTGTGGTGCCGTTTTTTTCTTTTAAATTTTGGAATTTTGCTTTGAGACAGGGTCTCATGTAGCCCAAACTGTTTTCCCACTCTTGATACTTCTGTCTTCTGCAGTATTGGGGTTATAGACGTGTCCCACCCACCGTGTGGCCCGTTCTGTGCAGCGCTAGGATGGAATTCAGGGGCCGCTGCCTGCTAGGCAAGCACTCTGCCACCTGAGCTACCTTCTACCGGCTCGGTTTGTTTTGAGACAGGGTCTCCATAGCCCAGGCCACTGTATTGCAGGGATATGCTGAGGGAGTGTGCCGCTTTGTATTGCTCTCAGCCTTCGGATCTGGTTTCCCAGTGCCAGCCCCATCCAGGGGCCCCAACCGCGGGCGGGCTCAGATCTGGTTGCCTTGGGCCACAGACAGGCGCCAGTGGCTGCTCCCGGAGTAAGGGCGCCAGGTACCCAAGGCCATATCTAGACCAAAGTCGGTTTCCAGCGGTGGATAAAGGGTGGCTTGTGAGGCTGAGCTTGTGAGGGGGAGGGGAGCGCTGGAAGAGCGTGCCAAGAAGTTAGCGCTTAGTATAAGAGGGAGAAAAATCCTGGGGACTGTTCTGCGTTTTGAAATGTGGGGGATGAAAGCCAGGCTTCATGTGTTATGTAGGTGCCCCACAGCTGAGCAGCCGCTCACGGGATGGCGGCGGCAGCGGGGTGGGCGGGTGAAATCTCATCTAAGGGATTTATTTGAGACAGGGTATCACAACAATGCAGTCTTGGCAGGCCTTAGGCTCACTATGTAGCTCAGTCTGGCCTCAAACTCCCAGAGATTTTTGCCTGTCCTGCTTCTGGAGTTCTTTATTTTTTTCTTTCATTAAAAAAAAGAAAAAGACACACAGACAGATATTGGCCAGACAGTGGTGTCACACACCTTTAATCCTGGGAGTATGAGGCCAGCCTGGTCTACAGCTCTAGTTCCAGGACAGCCAAGGCTACACAGAGAAACTTTGAAAAGACAAAGTCAAAAAAGATTTATTTTTATTCCTCTAAACTATGTGTATGTGTGTAGACATGTAGAGGCCATTCACTTCTTTTATTTTATTTTATTTTTATTTTTTTGGTTTTTCGAGACAGGGTTTCTCTGTATTGTTTTGGAGGCTGTCCTGGAACTTGCTCTGTAGACCAGGCTGGCCTTGAACTCACAGAGATCCACCTGCCTCTGCCTCCCGAGTGCTGGGATTAAAGGCGTGCGCCACCAACGCCCGGCCTTTTTTTTTTTTTAAACTTTTTTTTTAAAGATTTATTTATTTATTACATATACAGTGTTCTGCCTACATGCCAGAAGAGGACACCAGATTGAATTGTAGATGGTTGTGAGCCACCATGTGGTTGCTGGGAATTGAACTCAGGACCCCTGGAAGAGCAGTCAGTGCTCTTAACCTCTGAGCCATCTCTCCAGCCCGAGGCCATTCACTTCTGGGGCTAGTTAATGCCATTGTGGGCCACCCAACATGGGTGCTGAGAATTTAGCTTGGCACTTCTGTAAAAGCAGGACACACTCCTAATGGCTGGGCTGTTTAGCTAGCCCTAAGTTTTTAAAATTAATTAATTAATTAACTAACTAATTATTTTTAAAGTTTTTTGTTTTGTTTTGCAGTACAGGGTTTCTCTGTGTATCCCTGGCTGCTGTGGAACTCCCTATGTAGACCAGGCTGGCCTCAAGAGATTCACCAGGTAGAGATTGCGGTTTTGTTTTTTTAGAAAGGGTTTTATGTAGTCCTAATTTGTTATGTAAAGAATGCCCCAAATGCTGGGCGACAGGTGTGTGCTGGCATATTTGTTTGATTTTGTAGTTTGAGACCGGATCTCAACTTGAACTTATCAGGCTGTTGGTCTGGTCTCTACCTCTCTTTTGGTCTGGGGTTATAGGTATACCACAGGGCCAGCCATTTCCATTTGAAGAGGTAGTTTCTGTAAAAAGGATGCTGTCCTTTGATGGAGTCTTGGGCCTTGAAGAGGAAGAGGGCTGATGGGAGATGCCCTCTGTATGCTGTGAATGTTTGTCTTATTGATTGATGAACAAAGCTATTTCCGCCAAGGGACAGGCAGGATGTAGCCAGGCAGGACATATAGGAGGGGCTACCAGACTAGCAGAAGGCTGGGAAGAGGAACACAGTGTGTCTTCAGGAGATACAATGTATCCGCCAGGAAGGTAGGATGCCTGGGTATTCTCCCGTAAGCCAAGGCCATATGGAGATACATAGATTACTAGAAATGTGTTAATAATTGAGAGAGAGAGAGAGCTAGCTAATAAGAAGTCTGAGCCATCAGACAAACAGTTATAATTAATATAAGCTTCTGTGTATTTATTTGGGACTAAAGGGCTGCTGGACGGGGAGGAACAGAAACAGTGTAGCCGTGAAAGCCTGTGATCCCAGCGGTGGGAGACAGACCTCAAGTAAAGGTCATCTTCAGTGATGTAACAAGTTGAGGCCAGTCTGGGCCACATGAGACTAAACAGAGAAGAGTGAGTGTCTGGTGTTATGCCCCCCTGCTCCTCATCCTGTCTTTGAGATGTGGACAAGGAGGCCAGTCAGTAGCTGGTGTGTGTGTGGTGGGGTTTGGATGCCAGCAGAGAGATGGACAGTCAACAGGGGTGTGCTTACTTTGTGGTTTGCAGTGTCTCTCCAGGAGGAAGCTGATCCACATGTCTGGGACAAGGCCTCTCTCCCAGCTGGGATGCACAGGCCTGGCAGAAACATCTGGACTGGTGTGTTGAATGTCCAGGCACAGGGCTGACTCTGACTGGAGCATTAGAGCCAGGTCCTGGGGTCGTCCTGTCCTCTTCTTTCCAGTGATCACCAGGTAATGTTCAGGCAAGACAGACAGGGAACACAAGGGGACACAGGAAGAGACAGGGTGTGTGCACGTGTGTATGATTGAAAGCTCTTGCAGAGGCAGAGTCAAGAATTCCAGTAAAATCAGCATATACTATAGTGGACATAAAGAGAATATGGTATTTTTCTTCCTAGAATCTTTTTTTTTTAAACATACGGTCTCAAAAAAAAAAAAAGCAAGAAAAAAATGCCAGGTAGTGGTGGTGTTTCTTTAATATTAGGGTTGGGAAGATGGCTCAGCTGTTGATAGCCCTGGTGGTGCCAGGCAGTTGGGATGGTGGTGGTGCACACCTTTAACCGTAGCACTCGGGAGGCAGAGACAGGTGGATCTCTGAGTTCAAGGGCAGCCTGGTCTACAGAGTGAGTTCCAGGACACCCAGGGCTACACAGAGAAACCCTGCCTCAAAAAAACAAACACCACCGCCCCCCAAAAAAAAACCCATATGGTTTCATGCAGTGCAAGCTTGCCTTGAACCTTTTTGTAATGTATATGGTGTGTGTGTGTGTGTGTGTTCCCACATGACAGCGCATGTGCAGAGGTCAGAGGGGAATGTGTAGGAGCCAGTTTTCTCCTTCCCTCCCGTGGTCCCTAGGATTGAACTCAGGTTGTTGAGCTTGACGTCAAGAGCCTTTCTTTACCCACTAAGCCATCTTGCCATCCGTTTTCGTCTTATTTTTGGAGACAGGATCCTTCTCTGAACCCAGAACTCACTAATCTAGTTAGACCAGCAGGCCAGCCAGCAAGCTCCAGGGATTCCATCACCTCCCATCACCAGGGTTATAGGCAGATGCCACGGCGCACAGCTCCTGAGGACTTTGGAATTCTGAGGTCAGGTGGCCACGCTTGCAAAGCAAGGTGCACTTTCCCCGCCATTACCTCCCCAGCCCCAAATGGGAACTCCTGACCCTCCTGTCCCCATCATGAGTGTTGGGGGTACAGGTGTGCACCACACACACCCAGGAGATACAGCGCTGGATGGCTTTGGGAGGGCTAGGCAAGCACTCTGTGGCTCCTCCTGCGGCCATAAGTCCTTTGGCGGTAAAGAAAGTAACTTCTGTCCCCAGACACTTGAGACTCCAGAGAATACAATCCAGGCACCTGAGCTGGTGTCTTGCCTGACTCGGTCCCTGGGTGGCTGCTGGGGTCACACCACCAAAAGCGTACATACAACCAGAAAAAAATAAATAAAGGTAACACTTTTTTCTTTTTCTTTCTTTTACTTATTTAAAAAGGCCTTGGCGGCAGGAATATAGTGTAAAAATCATTGGAAAAACTAAAAGGCATCGATACATATCCGAATATACTTTGTACATAAATTACATTTCCTTTAGTCTTTCTGAGTTGAGGTCCTGATTCGGCTCTGAGGTCTAATAGTCAAGGGGACCTGGAAGCTGCACGTTTAGTCCGGAATAGTCCACCATGTACACTGGCCACTGCTAGAGAGAGGGGGACAGAGGGACCAGGTTAGGACTCCAGATGACACGAAGGAACTCCCAGAATAACTAACTCGCTTTCTTAGAGGGCAAACTCAAATGCCACTTAGGCAGCTACTGGCATCTCTGAGGCCACACAGGTAGTCTGGTGTGACTGTCCCCTGCCTGTGTTCCAGGGGGGTCAACACGTGGGTTAGACACCAGGGAGGGCTGAGTGAGCAGGCACAGGAAGCACCATATGCCCAGCTTCACCCCACAGACTGTCCCACCTCAATGATAAAAACAAAGGCAGGGGAAACAAATGCAGTTCTGGGCTTTCCAGAGTACCAGAAAGAGGCTGAAGGGACACACCAAGGGTCTAGAAATCCTAATACCAGTCTTTCTTTCCTCCATTCCTTTCTGCGGAGACAGTCTCATGTAACCCAGGCTAGCCTCAAATTTCTCATGTCCTGAGGCTGACCTTGAACTCCTGATCCTCCTGCCTCTACCTCGCCAGTGCTGGGGTCACAGGTGTGCGCCACCATGTCCAGTTTATGCGGAGCTGGGGACACAACCGGGGACTTCATGCTGACTGAGCCACACCCCCAGCCCTGCTCAGTAGTTTTCTTTGAGACAGAATACTCATATAGCCCAAGCTGGCCTCGAACTTGTGGGACTATAGGCGTACGCCATCACCACCAGTTTTTTGTTTTTTTTTTTTAACATAGGTTTTCCCCTAAATCATCAGGCAACAGCCAAACTCAGCAACGTGGCCGACAGATGATGGCGGCAGTGTCCTGTCATGTGACCATCCGCCCCTCTGGCTCCGCTGGTGGCACTCACACTTCAAGCACTGTGCTGATGGCACAGACCCCCTCGGTCTATCTTGTGGGTAAGACAAGCGCATGCGCCTGCACCTCTGAGGTTGGCTGAGCCCCTCTCAGAGCCCAGGGCCTCCCAGTTCCTGGGGCTGCGGGCGGCCCTGCCCGAGGGAGGGGCACAGGCCACACAGAATTAGGGTGAAGTTCAGATCTGCGTGACTTTACCACGAGGGAGATCTGGTTGGTGGAGGCCACAGACTCTGGGTTAGAGGACGAGGATGAAGAAGAGGAAGAGGAGGAGACCGAGTTGCCTTCCGAGACCCGCTTTCTCTTGCGCTTGGGGATGTCTTTGGCTGGTGGAAGAAACAGTTGCTGAGGCCGGATGCTGGGGGCCCTTCTGTGTCGGGCTCCTGAACTCCCTGGAGAAAGCCCTTGCTTTTAGAATTTTAGTGTTTGATTTTTTTTTCCCTCCCCCAAATTGTCCCGGGAATGGAACCCAGGGCTTTGTATATGAACCACACTCCTAGGCCCTTACTGGGGGATTCTAGGCAGGTGCTGCACTTCTGTGCTGAGGCTATACCCTTTTAAAGCAACCCGGGCTCTGTGACCCCCCCCCTCCACCCACCAAGTGGCTGAGGCTCAGCTGTCTAGTCTTGCTCCTCAAGCAGGTATAAGGGACAGTTGTCCCGCTCTGGCTCCTAGTCACCTACCCCGCTTTGCTGATACAAACATCCCCTCACCCAGCTCAGCGGGCTCAGGCTCGGTACAGGACTCCGCTTCACCTAGAGCACTCCACTTTCAGCATGGCTGTCTCCCCAAGACCTTCAAAAGCCCTGAGCAACTCTTTGCACTTCCTACCAAAGCCTCTTGGTTTGGTTTGCTGAGATGGGGTCTTAGGTAGCCTAGGCTGGCCTCTAAGTCACAGTGTGGCTGAAGCTGGTCTTGACTCCTGATCCTCCTGCCTCTACCTCTCAAGTACCAGGATTAAAGGCGTATGCCACGACACCTGATTTACGGGGTGGTAGGGACTTTGTTCAGACTCTCCCGACTGATCCACAACCCACCCTTACCTATTTCATTTATGTATGCGTATATGGCACATGAATGGAGGTCAGAGGACAACCTGTAGGAGTTGGCTCGGTTTCTCCATCATGTGGGCTCCAGGGATTTGAACTCAGGTCATCAGGTTTAGCAGCAAGCACCTTTATCACTGAATCACCCCAAGGACTATGCCTGCCTGTGACTTTTCATTTTTTTAATTTTTGAAGGCAACAGACTGGTCCCCATGAGGCAGAAGACTGGCCTCTCCTGCCTGACTCACCTGGCGCCTTGGCATCATTGCAGACTTCTGCAAAAGGTCTGAAAAAGAGAAGCAAGGCCACGGTTAGGTGGTTTCCTCTCCTCACCCGCTCCTTGGGTATGGACACCTACTCTCCATAGTGGAGGCGTAGCTACTGCGGCTACAGCCAGGTCAGTTCACATTATAGTTCTACGCCCTAAGTGTTGCCTGATGGTCCATGTGTTAAATGTATGGTTGCCAACCTGGCACGCTAGACCTTTAGGAGGTGGGTGGGTCCTAGTGGGAGGGATGGGTCATTGAGGTCGTGTCCTCGGTGGGGATCCTCCTACCATTGCTTCCTCTTCTCTTCCTCGCCCTGCTCCCTGGCTCCCATGAGGTGAGCAGCACCTTCCACCATGGATATCCCACCGGAAACAGGCTCAAGTGACCAGAGCACAAAACCCCTCAAACGCCTTTCTTTTTGGGACAGAGCCTCACTATGCAGCCGGGGCTGGTTCCTCTATTACTGGGATTATAGGAATACATCAGTACACGTTGTCCCTCAAACATTCTCTCTCTCCTCTCTCTCTCTCTCTCTCTCTCTCTCTCTCTCTCTCTCTCTCTCTCTCTCTCTCTCTCTCTCTCTCTCTCTCTCTCTCTTTCGAGATAGGGTTTCTCTGTATTGTTTTGGAGGCTGTCTTGGAACTCGCTCTGTTACCAGGCTGGCCTCAGACTCACAGAGATCTGCCTGCCTCTGCCTCCTGAGTGCTGGGATTAAAGGCGTGCACCATCAATGCCTGGCTTTTTTTTCTCTTTAAAAATTTTTTTTTATAGCCGGGCGGTGGTGGCGCACGCCTTTAATCCCAGCACTCGGGAGGCAGAGGCAGGCGGATCTCTGTGAGTTCAAGGCCGGGTGGACCGATAGCCTCCGAAACAATACAGAGAAACCCTGTCTCATAAAAACCAAAAAAAAAAAAAATTACATTTACTTATTTTGTGTATGTCTGTGCGCAAGTGTGTCCAGTAGAGGTCAGAGGACAAACTGCAGGAGACAAGTCAGTTCACTCCTTTTATGATGTGAGTGCCAGAAACCTTACTTGGGTTGTCAGGTAAAGGTGTGTGTGTGCGTGCGTGCGTGTGCGTGCGTGCATGCGTGCGTGCGTGCGTGCGTGAGGCTGTATGCACGCGTGTGTGTGGGGGCACAGGCTAACACTGGGTGTCTTCCTCAGCTACCCTCCATGCTATTTTTATTCTAAAGAATTATTTACTTACTTACATACACGTGTGTGTATACAGGTGTGCGAGCCTGCGTGCACAGGAGGAGGCCAGAAGAGAGGGAGCTGAGTGTCTTTACCATTCTCCACCTGTTCCTTTAAGGCACAGTCTCTCCCTGAAGCCGGCACTAGCATTTTCTCACTGGGCTGGAAGCCAGCAAACGCCACAGATCCTCCTGTCTCCACCCTACTTGTGGGGCCACAGGCATGCACCAGGGGACACACGTGTTACAAGGCCACTGGAATCCAAGCTCTAGCCCTCGTGGTTATGCAGCAGCAAATATTTTTACCTGTTGTCCTTTAACCCCTCATGTCCTAGTCTCCATGTTATACTTTTAGGCAGAATCTCTCATTGAACCAGAAGCTCACTAATTTGGTTAGCCTGGACAGCCAGTGCGCCCCAGGAATCCTCTTGTTTTTTTTTTTTTTTTTTTTGCCTTCCCAGTGGTGGGATTACAGGTGCACACTATGGGTCCTGGGGATCTGAGCTCAGGTCTTCACGCTTGTATGGCAAGCTTGTTGCACCAACTGCAACATCTCCCCAGCTCCTACCCCAAACTTTAAAAGATTTTATTTTATTTATTTATTTATTTTGAGAGGGTTTCTCTGTATTGCTTTGGAGCCTGTCCTGGAACTCACTCTGTAGACCGGGCTGGCCTCGAACTCACAGAGATCCACCTGCCTCTGCCTCCCAAGTGCTGGGATTAAAGGCGTGCACCATCAACGTCTGGCTTGTTTTATTTTTGTAGGATTCTTTTTCTATTGTATGAGTTTCTGTGTGCATGTGTGCATGTCTGTGCAGTGCCCAGGGAAGTCAGAGGAAGGTATGGGACCCCCTGGAAATGGAGTTAGGGATAGTTGTGAGCCGCCACGTGGAAGCTGACAGTCAAACCTGGGTTCTCTGGGAGAGCAACCAGTGCTCTAAGCTGCCGAGCCATCTCTTCAGCCCTGTCCTAAAACACCTGGAGAACACAGAGGATACTTAAGAAATTATGAATTGTCAGCTGGGTAGAGTGGCTCATGCCTGTAATCTCAGCACCGAGGAGGTGGAGGCAGGAATATTAGGAGTTCAAGGTCAGCTTCAACTACATAGCGTGTCCCAGGCCTGGGCTAAATGAGCCTCTGTCTCAAAACAAACAAAAGAAATTGGAGTTGATTTTCTTTTCTGGCTCAGGATTCTCTGGCGGAGCCTGCTGACCTTGTCCTGGGCCAGGGTGGTACCTCTCCCCTCCCACAGCTCTTGCCCTCTGTCTGCCCTGTAGCACTCACTGGAGTTGGTTGATGATGACCATCCGCACATTCTCTCTGGCCTTCAGGATCTTCTCCAGCCGATGGATGTCGTAGGTGTTGGGGTTCCGGAAGGGGATGTCATCAGGAAGGCCTTTCACCTCCACGGCATCTGGGCTGTCCCGGATCAGTTTGTAAGGGACCAACACAGGCCGATTCAGTCCCAGGGCCTCACCTAGAGAGCAAAGGTCAGAACCAGAGAAAGATGCCCCCATGTCAGAAGGTAAAACACCGTAGGGAAGGCTTCGTGACTCTGACAGCCCAACTCAGCAGCCAGGGACATCATCCATAAACGGTGTTATGATAGTTTGTCCACAGGTTCTAGAATTACCTGGAAGACGTACCTCTGGGCACATCTGTATGTGAGGAAGTTTCTAGATTGGGTTAACTGATATGGGAAGACCCACTCTAAATGTGGGAGGCACAGTCATAGGCTGGGGTTCCAGAACTGAATTAAAATGGACCAAGTGAGCTGGAATTGTCCCTCTCTGCTTCCCGACTGCACACGTGACCAACTGCTTCATGCCCTTGGCCTATGGACTAGTGTTAATCTGTGACCCAAGAGGAAGCCTTCCTTAAAGGTGGGTATTGTCTCACAGTAACTAACACATACACCACCAGTGACTGTGGGTGCGCCCTGTAGATCCACCCCAGCCACCTGCAGGCACTGACCGTATTTCTCATTGAAGAGCTCCTTCACCTGCTCTCGGAGGATCACCTTCTCACCGAGCCTGTTGGCGTCATCCTCATCTGCAGGGACACGATAAGACTGCAGGGCCAGCACACGCTTCTCCTATGTGCTGTGGCCCTGGCCTGCTGGGCAGCCTCTCTAGATACCGCCTATTCCACGGCAGCTGCTCTGGTTTCATAAGTATTTCCACCCACTCATCCCACTCAAATCCATCCATCCACACACCCACCCTCTCACCTCCATTCCATCCTCCACCCATCCATCCATCCATCCATCCACACACCCACTCATCCTCCCATCCACCTGAATTTCCCAAGCAGCATCCCCCTACAGGCCAGGCATAGAGCACACCAAGAGGAGCCAACAGTGTAGGGGATACCAGTCACAGCCCCAGAAACAGGTGTGATGGGACGCTCAGGAGGTCACAAGAGGTGCCACCCAGGGGCCTGGAATGCTTCTCTTGTTGCTTTGCTTTTACTTTTCGGAGACAGGGTCTCACACTGTTGCCCCACCCGGCCTCTCTCAGTCTTCTAAGTGTTGGGTTTAGAGGAATGTTCCCACATGCCCTGCTTGGTGCTGCAGATGGAACCAGAGTGTACAGCCTGCTGTATAAGGGCTTCTCTGTGGCTTTGGAGGCTGTCCTGGAACTCACTCTGTAGACCAGGCTGGTCTCCTCAGAGATCCGCCTGCCTCTGCCTCCCGAGTGCTGGGAACAAAAGTGTGCACTGTCACCACCTGGGTGACACGGGGGCATGGATGGTCTGTGCTTCTAGTATCTCATCTATCTATCTATCTATCTATCTATCTATCTATCTATCTATCTATCTATGGTCTTGTTACTTATCTGGTTTTCATATGTAGCTTATGCTTTGTTTTATTTTGTTTTTGAGACAGGGTTTCTCTTTGTAGCCCTGGGTTGTTCTAGAAATCAATTTGTAGACCTCAAACTCACAGAGATCCACCTGGAAGGTGTGTGCCACCACCGCTTAGCAATGTGTAGCTTTGCCAGCCTGAACTCATAGAGTTCCCCCTGCCTCTGCTTCTCAGGGCTGCATTAAAAGATGTGTGTCACCACACCCAGTTTATTTATTATTTTTGTTTATGTGTATAAGTCGCATGTATGCAGTACCTGAAGGGTCCCCTGGAGCTGTCATCATAGGAGGTGGTGAACTGCCCAACCCGAGTGCTTAGAGCTGGACATCGTGGCATATCATTTTAATTCCAGCACTGGGAGACAGAGGCAGGTACATCTCTGGGTGTTCGAGGCCAGCCTGGTCTACACAGTGAGATCCAGGACAGCCAGAGAGACTATTTACAAAAACAACCACAGCCCCCCCAAATAAACAGGGTTAAGATATCTGCTACTAACCTGATAACCCAGTTCAAACTCTGAGACCTACGCATTAGGAAGACAGAACTGACTCCCACTGTTGTCCTCTGACCTCCACATATTCAGTGGCACAAGCACCCACAACCCTCCTACAAGGGCTAACAACACTGCTATGAAATGATCCTTCTGTGCACTGTGGGAGTATCTGTCACTATGATTGGTTTAATATCGAGCTGACCCACACCCCACCCTTACTGTCTAATGTAGCTCAAAGACCACTAATGTGGCTGGTGGCCAAGCCAGGCTGATGTCATACCAACTCAAATAAAGGTGCCGGCTGTTTTTTTATTGACGTTGGTGGCCTTTAGAAGTTAATTTTTGTGTGTTTGCGTTTGTTCCTTTATGCCTGTGGAACCCTTCCTCGGGACTCTTACGTTTTGAGAGCGTCTGGTATCTGGAACTGGCCAAGTTGGTTAGACTCGCTGGCTAATCAGCACCAGGGATGTACTTGTCTTTGCTCCCCAGAGCTGGGACTATAAGTGGATACCACCATACCTGTCCTTTTCTCTGCGGGTTTGCTGATTGGCTTAATGAGCCATCTCCTGAGCCCCTCTGCTTCCTACATTTGCATAAGGGTTTCTGGAATCTTACAGAAAGTTCCAGGGCTCCCTCAACTTCCTGGAGCCTCATATTTAGGAACCCAAGAACACAGAAGTTCCTTCCCAACCACACACGGGGTGGTGCAGGACTTGAGATCTTTAACCCATCTAGGGGTGGAGTGAGTCATAGCCCTGGCTGAGTTTCCACAGACCTAGAGTGGTCAGGGTCTCCCAGACACTACCCTGCGGCTCCAGGGCTCCCTCTGATATAAAGGAGGAAGCCCAGGCCCAGAGAGGCCTCCCTGCCCCACCCTGGCAGTGGTCAGCGAGTCCCAGGAAGACAGGAAAGCGGTCACTACAGCAGCCAATATTGACAGAGAGCAGCCTAGATAATGCCATGGAGGAAGTGTGGCTGGCGCTGGAATTGTGGCATCACTGGATTCTGAGAAAGGACAGTGTTGTTCAGCTCTCAAGACCAAGACAGAGCTGGGAGGGGAGGCAGGGAGGAAGGGAAACAGGGAGGAAGGGCAGGGACTACAGGACTGGAGCCAGGAAACGATCCCTTCAGCCTTGGGGAATGGAATACGGAAGGGCAGAGGGGACTCTGAAGAAATCAAGGCCTAGCCATAGTGAGCCAACCTACCTGACATTGCAGATTGTAAGGGGCTTATCCAAGACCCCATCGCAGAGAGTAAGTTAACTTATCTATGGTCACCCAACAGTGAGCTAACTCATCCAAGATTACGGAGTAAATGAACTTATCTAGGACCACAGACCATAAGTTAGCTTCTCTGAAGAGATCAGTTATCTAACGCCACAGCACAGGAAAGGCAAATATAGTCCCTAAAGGGGCAAAAGGGACTGTTTCCCTCCTTGCTGCCCGATTGTCAGCATCAACCCCACACTGGTCCCCAGGCCTGTCTCAGGTCCCCCTCTCCCTGACGCTCTCCTCAGTTTCTTTTCTTTTTTTTTGGTTTTTATGAGACAGGGTTTCTCTGTATTGTTTCGGAGGCTATCGGTCCAGCCTGGCCTCGAACTCACAGAGATCCGCCTGCCTCTGCCTCCCGAGTGCTGGGATTAAAGGCGTGCGCCACCACCGCCCAGCACTCTCCTCAGTTTCAAGGTGGCAGTAGACAGCACCGAGAGGCCTCAGGCGAAGCTGGGGAAATGGTCTGTGTACTTTCCTCAGGGACACACTGATGTTATAGAAGACTCACCAATAAACTTGCTTAGAAAATACTAAGTTGGCTGAGCTGGTGGTGGCACTCGGGAAGCAGATGCAGGTGGATCTCTGAGCTCTAGGCCAGCCTACGGAAGGAGGGACACGGGGTGGGGGTGGGGGTGGGCACAGGACTGGAAAGCAACTTACAGATGGAAGAGAGCCTAAGAATCCAGTGCGATAGCCTAACCCTACATAAAGCCACAGGGGGATTTCTGTCCTAGACTGGCTTCTCTTTGGGAGCAGGCTATTATTAGTTTTAATTTCCCCTCCCTTCTTATTTTCTGAGTGGTTGGAATAAATTCTCATGGGGGTGGGGCGGGGCTTAATCTGCCATAACAATTTCTGGAAATTGAACCTGAACCGGGAAGTCTACTGTGGGTGTCCTAGATTAAACTCTGACCGCTGAGAATTTGGGTCCAGCTCCCTGGGGCGCTCAGGTTTCTGGGCAGCGGGGACCCAGCACACAAAAGCTCGCCGGGCCTAACCCAGGCTGCACACCCAGTCCTTCTGAGCCTCTGAGACAGGCTTGGCTTTGGGCTCCAGGGTGGAGAGAAGGTAACCCTTCCTGGGTTCTTGTTTTTGTTTGCCAAGGCAGGGTTTCTCTGTGTATCCCTGGCTGTCCTCCCGGAGTGCTGGGATTAAAGTCGTGTGCTGACACTGCCCTGCTCATCCTTGCTGTTCTATAGATAAGGACACTGGTGTTCAAAAGAGCTGAACTGGCTTGCTGGCGTCACGTGGGAAGCGGGCAGCTCTGCTCTCCCTGTGGGGACCCCAGTGCACCCATTTTTCCTAGACAGCCCACTGGCGCTGCACCTGGGGTCAGAGGAAACAGTTATGATGTGTATGCATGCGTGCACGTGCGTGTGTACCAAGTGTCTGTGGGTGTCTGTGGTGGCTAGAAGAGGACACTGGATCCTCTGGTGCTGGAGTTACGGGCTAAGAAGTGACCTCAGGTCTTCTGGGAAAGCAGCAAACACTCTTAACCTCTGAGTCATATCTCAAGACCTTATTATTCAATTTTAAGACAAGGTCTCTTACAGTCCAGGCTAGCCTCAGACTTCCTATGTAGCTGAAACTGGCCTTGAACTCCTCCGGGTACTGGGATGACAGATGTCTATCACGACACCCTACAGAGGAAGGAAGTGACAGACTGTTTGGAAGCTCCCAACTGGCAGCAAAGGGAAGTGGTTCCTGTCAGGTACTGTGAGGAGGGAAAAGCTCTTTTTTTTTTTTTTTTTTTTTGGTTTTTCGAGACAGGGGGTTTCTTTGTGGCTTTGGAGGCTGTCCTGGAACTAGCTCTTGTAGACCAGGCTGGTCTTGAACTCACAGAGATCCACCTGCCTCTGTCTCCCCAATGCTGGGATTAAAGGCGTGCACCGCCAACACCCGTCAGAGGGAACAGCTCTTGCCCTCCTCCTTTGCAACAAGCCCTGGAGGGAATATGGTGTTTGGGAAGTGACTGACTGCCTAACTCAGTGTGAATGCCTCCAGAGACAGGGAGGTCACTACTTCCAAAGCTGCCCCTCACCACCCCCCACAGATCTGAAGAGTCAGGCTTTTAGACTAGTGTCACCTTCACTCCCACCTTCCTCACCAGCCACTCCATCCCCTTCTAGATCTTAATTCACCTCTCCCTGGCCCACAGCCCGGGCTCAGGCCTCTGTGGACCATCCTAGTCCTCGGCTCCAGCTTTACCTTGAGCAGTGTACCTGCCCCGGGGGAGGCTGTCACCCCGGCTACCAAAAAAAAGAAGCAAATCTGACATCATTTGAAAAACAAAACTGATGCCTGAAAACAAAACATACACCAGACCACACCAGGCCCAGTGGTATGCTACTTGGAAGGAAAAAGAGGAAGAGGACTGCAAATTCAAGGCTAGCCTGGGCTACATAATGAGCCGCTGTCAAAGACAAGCAGGCAGACAGCTGGCTAGGGATGTAACTCTATTGGTAGAGTGCTTGCCTAGCATGCATGAAGCCCTGGGCTGCACCCCCCAGTACCACACACACACACACACACACACACACACACACACACACACACACACACCAGTATGGGGTACACACTTATAATCCTAGCACTTTGGAAGTATCGTGGAGGCTGGAGGGTCAGGGTTCAAGATCATCCTTGCTGTCCAGCAAGTTCAAGGCTAGCCTGGGATACCTGAGGCACTCTGCTTCAAACAATAACAAACCCACGAGTGGGAAGGCTGAGCTGAGCTCACGGCTGTCTCTTCATCCCAACCTGGAAAATGTTGCCTCCCCAGGCTGGCAGCTACACCCTAAGCTCCAATGTGAGTGGCTTGTCACTGGAGAGAAAGACTCCACCCGAAGGAGGCCACAGTGTGGCTCTGTGGAAACCAATCTGTAGCCATTTTTGGAGGACTTCGCACGTGTGTATAGGCCTGTCTTCCTCTTCTCCTCCACGATGCTTATGAATTGTAGTAACACTGGTTGTTCCAGCGAGCCCTCTGGGATTATACCCACAGCAGTCCATCCCCACAGGGGACCTCTGCTCCCCGGAGGGCTACATCTGCTCCCGGCCCCTTTCCTTGCTCGACAAAAGTGAAATTCAAATGGGATAATGCTGCCACCAGATTGCCTTTCAGCAAGTCTGTAGTATACGTTCTTAATTAGTGATTGACGCGGGAGGACCCAGACCCATCGTGGGTGGGACCACCCCTGCGCATGTTGTGAGGCCTATAAAAAAGCAAGGTGAGCAAGCCAGGGAGAAAACGCCAGTGGTTAGCGCTCCTCCAAGGCCTCCGCTCCTGCCTCCGGCTTCCAGCTATGACTTCCCTCAGGGACACTGTGAGTCATAAGCTGAAATAAACCTTTCCTCCCCAAGGTGTTTTTGATCACGGTGTTCATCACAGCAACAAACCTTCAGACAAGAGTGTCCCAGTCTGACAGAGCGGCAAATGTGTGCAATGCCAGTGCTGTGATGTGCAGGCAGGAAGACCTAAGATGATCCTCAGCTCACGTCAAGTTCCAGGTCAGCCTGGTCTACAGGAGACGCTGCCTCAAGACACAAGCCAGGACGGGACAGGGGTGAGGACTAGAGAGACGCCTCAGCGGTTAAGAGTGATGGCTGCCCTGCCAGAAGACCAGGGTTTGGTTCACAGCCACCTACAACTCCAGTTCTCTGACCTGCACAGACATGGGGCATACGCACACACGGTGCAGGGAAAACAGTCTAACACATAAAGTATGTACACACACACACACACACACACACACACACACACACACACACACACACACACACACACACACACACACACACACACTCCTAAAACCAACCCGAAAAACAAACCCCAACAAGCAAACCAGCTTTAAACTGGGTGTTTACAAGATTGTTGACAGGAGCCATGTTATTGCACATAGTGGCCATGAGGGGGCGACAAAACGACACTCAGCAGGATCAGAGATTTGGCACAGTGGATGGCGGGCTGAGGGCAAATCCAACCTGGATCCTGCTTTAAGTAGGTACGACCTCCTTTCAAACCTGGGCCAGCCTACGGAAACGGCCGGTGACTTTGAGAACTTTTCTAACCTCTCTGAGTCTGTTTCCTCCTGTGAGAAGCTAACCAACCCCAGAGTGGTGGCACACAGCTCCACTGAACACTCAGGAGGATCACAAGTTTGAGGACAGTCTGGGATTCATATCAAGACTCTGTCCCCAAAACAAGCAGGGTACGGAGGGCAGGGGGAGACCCAGGGAGCTATAGCGGGTTGGCTGACACATGTGCTCCCTGGCTTTCTATGGGGGCTGGAGGTTCAGCTACACTTCCTGGACCACACAGAGACAGCAGTAGCACCATTCACACAGACATCAGGCGGTCACTTGCGTCAGGGCTGGCCACTGGCTGGGGTCTGAGGAGCTATGAGCCTGGAGCCGAGAGGACTGCATTCACACACGAACTCAGGAGTGGGGGGGGAGGGGGGGCTTGCTATGGGATCAGGCAGAATGGGGTTGGGCCAGGGACAGCGCAAAGTAAGGGGACTTTCTGGAACTTTCACTGGTGGGCAGGCAGCCCTGTGTTCACAAGTCCCCAGATCTCTGTGTTCACAAGTCCCCAGATCCCTGCGTTCACAAGTCCCCAGCCCTGTGTTCACAAGTCCTCAGCCCTGTGTTCACAAGTCCCCAGATCTCTGTGTTCACAAGTCCCCAGATCTCTGTGTTCACAAGTCCCCAGATCTCTGTGTTTACAAGTCCCCAGATCTCTGTGTTCACAAGTCCCCAGATCTCTGTGTTCACAAGTCCCCAGATCTCTGTGTTCACAAGTCCCCAGATCTCTGTGTTCACAAGTCCCCAGATCTCTGTGTTCACAAGTCCCCAGATCTCTGTGTTCACAAGTCCCCAGATCTCTGTGTTCACAAGTCCCCAGCCCTGTGTTCACAAGTCCCCAGATCTCTGTGTTCACAAGTCCCCAGCTCTCTTCCTAAAGAAGCACTCATTTCCCCCTTGGGCTGGCTGCCAGCTCTGGCTCAGCCTCTGGCTACACCCAGGGCTCTGTCCTCTGTGGGTACAGCATCCCCCCAGTGAGCTGCTGCAGAAGGTATGATAGGGTCAGAGGTTTTTCTGTTTGTTTCCCCACCAAGCCACACCCCAGCCCTTCACTGGGGAATCCATAGGCACTCTTTTCTTTTTTGTTTGTTTGCTTTTTTTGAGACAGAGTCTCTCTGTGTAGTCCTGGCTGTCCTGGAACTCACTACGTAAATTGGGAAAACCTCAAACTCGGAGATCCACCTGCCTCTGCCTCCCGGCTGCTGGGGTTAAAGGTTACCCCACTATGCTCAGTCTCTTTTGAGTCAGCCCCTCACTGGCCCGGAGCTTGCTCAATAGACCCGGCAGACAGGCCAGTGGCCTCAGCAGTTTGCCCTTCTCCACCTCTCTGGCACGGGGATCACAAGCGTGTGCTACTATATGACGCATTCGTGGGTCCCTGGGATCGGGTCCCCAGGTCTGTACAGCCAGTATTTTACAGACTGCGTCATCCTCCCAGCTGCCCTGCATGGACAGCACTCATACATTTGCTACCGATTTCCTCCACACACTCACTGGGTGAGCCAGGCCCATCGGAGGGCACGGGGACGCTGACACAGCTGCAACCCTGATTGGGTGGAGCCGCGGGCTTCGGCGCTACCTGTCTGCCCTAGGACCAGGGCACCCGCAGGCTTTCTCCACTAACCTGGGGCAGACCAACAGGGAATTGTGGGAACAGCAGTCAGTAGCCCAGGTCCCACTCCTTGAGTCAGGCAGTTGTGCCATTGTGGACTTGGCGTGGAGTTCCCAGAACTGTGCAAGAACCCCAGGCCCCCAACACCAAGTGCCTCCCAAACACAGAATACCACTCACCAGGCTTTGGGATGAGTCCTTGGAATGGCCTGGAAGGGAAACAGAAGTGGGGCGTTTTAGGGAAAAGACACAGAGGACAAGACTACCACAAGATGATACCAGCTTGCCAAGGAATCGGCAACAAACGCCTAAGGCCCACTTCACGCATTAGCATTTAACGTTTGAGTCTTTCAGAGAGGACCTCTTGTAGCCCGGGCTAGTCTTGAACTCCCTATGTTACAGCCAAGGAAGTCCTGGAACTTCTGATCCTCCTGCCTCCACCTCCTGGGTGTTGTAATTACAGGTGTGTACCACGAAGCCTTGTCTATGTGGTTCTGGGGATGACAGTGGGGGCTTTGTGCACACTGGACATGACTGAAACCAACCAAGCCACACCCCCTGACTCCCCCGCCCCCAATGGTCATATAACTAGGGCTAACAAACTCATAACCCTCCTGGCTCTGCTTCTCAGCGCTGGGAAGAGAAGCATGTTTTGGGATCTGCACCATTTGTGTTTATGGGGTGGGGTCGTGGAGGGTACCTTTGCCTGTGTTCGTGTGTGCGTGCGTGTGTCTCCTTCAATCATTCTACATCTTGTTTTTGTTTTTAAGGAAAGGTGTCCCACCTGGCTAGACTGGCTAGCAAGCAGGCCCCTGGATCCTTCTCACTCTTCCTACTACGTCAGTGCTGGGGTTAAAGGTGCATGGCAGCCTGCCCACAGTTTTACACGGATGCTGAGGATCCGAACTCAGACCCTCAAGCCTGCTCAGTAAACCCTTCCCCACTGAGCCAGCTCCCAAGCCCCAGGATCCACGTTTCAGTAAGTGCCCAGGCCAGGTGTGTACATGGAATTTTTGCTTTCTCAGGGGGTTGGCTATGCCTACAGGGCTGCTGAGGGGCATACAGTTAGAAGGGTGGCCAGTCACTGTGTGGAAACTCCTGAACCTGTCTGGTCTGCAGTTCCTCTCTAACACCCTGTGGCGGTGTGAAAGGAAATGGCCCCCACAGGGAGGGGCGCTCTTAGGAGGTGTGGCTTTGTTGGAGTACGCGTGGCCTGATTGGAGGAAGTGTCACTGTGGAGGCGGGCTTCGAGGTCTTTTGCCTAAGCTTCCCTAGGCGGTTCAGTTGGCTTCCTGTTGCCTGTAAGATGTAGGACTCTTAGCTACCTCTCCAGTACCTGCACGCAGCCACGATCCCAATGGACCGAACCTCTGAAACCGTAAGCGCGCCACCCCAACTAAATGTTTCCTTTGTAAGAGTTGCTGTGGTCATGGTGTCTCTTCGCAACAATAGCAACCCTAACTAAGACACTCCCCTATTGCCGAAATTTCTGGAGCGGGCACCCAGTGCCAGCCATGCAAGTCTCGACTCTTCCCCTTCCTCATCAAATACCTGGTGACCGTGAACTTGATCTTGTCCGCCACAGCCAGGATCCGTTCCAGGTTCTGGGAGCCAAAGGTGCAGGGTTTGCGGAATGGGATCCCCGGAGGCAGGCCCTCGATGAGGACTGAACCTGGATTGCTTTTGATTCGCTTGTAGGGGACCTGCACTGGGTACTTGATGCCCAAGGCTTCACCTGGATACGAGAAGGACAGTTGTGCCAGCTGAGAGGAAGCAGCGGAATGGGGTGTTGCAGCACAGGAATGCCAGCGCCTCCCTCAGCGGGCACAGGGCCCTTTGTGGAAGACTGTGGAGCAGTGGTTCTCAACCTTCCTAATGCTGGGACCCTTTAACACAGTTCCTCTCGCTGTGGTGACCCCCACCCATAAAATCATTTCATTGCTACTTGTGGTGGTTTGAAAGAAAATGGCCCCCAAGGGAGCTGCACTAGTAGGAGGTGTGGCCTTGTTGGGGGAAGTGTATCACCGTGGGGGTGGGCTTTGAGGTCTTTTTCTCAAGCTTCACTCAGTTTGACAGTCAGTTGACTTCCTGTTGCCTCTAGGTCAAGGTGCAGGGCTCTTGGCCCCAGCACCGTGTCAGCCTGCAGGCCACCATGCTCCCCTTCCTGATCACAATGGACTGGACCTCTGAAACTGTAAGCGAGCCACCTCAGTCAAATGTTTCCTTTGTAAGAGTGGCGTGGCCAGGGTGTCTCCTCACAGCAACAGCAAACTGAAACACTACTGAAACACTACTTGGTAACTGTGATTTTGCTACTGTTACGATCGTAATGAAAATATCTGATATGCAGGGTACCTGATATGCAACTCCCCCCAGCCGGGTTGTGACCCACAGGTTGAGAACCACTGCTGGAGAAGGCTGGACATGAATAAGACTGGAGATTAGCGTGTGTACTGTGCAGGGAGTTTCTGGTGTAAATCCGTGCTGGGTGGGTCTTGAGCACACAGCAGGAGCATGTGGTTCCAGGTGCTGGCCAGGGCGGTGACTAATATTTCTCAGTCTGGGCTGCACTGCACACCTGCCTCTAGGATGGGGAACCCTGAGACTTCTGCTTTCCCCCAGACGGTGGCTCTCAGATTCAGAGTCAGGACCCACACAGAATGAATGGACATGCGCCTCCCAGCAGCAAGGAAGGCAGACCAAGCCAGACTCGAAGGACCACTGCCTACCTGGTCTCACCCTTCCCTTCTTTCCCTCAATTTCTTTTGAGACAGAGCCTTATTATGTAGTCTTGACTGGCCTGGGACTCCCTATGTAGGCCAGGCTAGCCTTAAACAGAGGTCCACCAGCCTCTGCCTCCCAAGTGCTGGGATCAGAGGTGTGCACCACCACCTTGTGGGTTTTTTGTGTCATAAGAATTTTGTTTTTCTTTCTTTTTAGTTTGTCGAGAGAGGGTTTCTCTGTGTAGTCTTGGGTGTCCTGGGATTCACTCTGTAGATCAGGCTGGCCTGGAACTTAACGTAGATCCCCCTGACTCTGCCTCCCCAGGGCTGGGATTAAAGTCCCAGTACAGAACAAGTTCCAGGATGGCCAAAGCTGTTACACAGAGAAACTGTCTCGGAAAACCAAAACCGAAAAGAGCTGTCTCTCCATACCTAACATCTCTTTTTAAAGGTTTTTTTTTTTGTTTGTTTTGTTTTTCGAGACAGGATTTCTCTGTATTGCTTTGGAGGCTGTCCTGGAACTCGCTCTGTAGACCAGGCTGGCCTGGAACTCACAGAGATCCACCTGCCTCTGCCTCCCGAGTGCTGGGAATAAAGGCGTGCGCCACCAACGCCCGGCTAAAGTTTTTTTGTTTGTCTTTTTTTTTTTTTTAAAGAAGGATCCCATGTAACTTAGGCTGACTTCCAACATGCTATGTAGCTGAGGATGACCTCGAACTTCTGACCCTCCTGCCTCTGCCTCCTGAGTGCTGGGGTGACAGGTGTGCCCGACCAGTCCATGTGGTGCCTTGGACTGAACCCAGGGCTTCACGAATGCTCAGCAAGTAGTCTACCATCTGAGCCACACCTCAGTCCCTACCTTAAGAAAAAGCTTTAAATTACATTTTATCTATTTATGTATGTGCATGTATGAGCACATGTGTGCACAGCCCATGGAGCCCATGGTGGAGGAAAGAGGGAAACCGCAGGTGTTGGTCCTCCCTTCCTTATGTGGGTTCCAGGAACTCAAACTGCCCTGTAAGCCACCTCACCAGTGAGTGTGCGCGCTCTTTCTCTCTAACAAAACCCATATCCTATAGTTCCTGCTGGCACGAAACTCACAGCAATCCTTCTGCTGCAACTTCCCCAGTGATGAAATGACAGGTGTGCACCACCAATACATCTTATGCTGTGCCTGTTTTCTGTGACACCGTGTCCCCAGCGCTTGGCATGTAGTAGATGCCCAAGAAACAGACGAGAGCTGGTGAGACGTCAGTGTGCACAGGTGGCTGCCACCAAACCTGGCAGATTAAGTTTGATTCCCAGAACCCCACATGGTAGAACAAAACAGCCAACTACTTCCAGTCTGATCACTGCGTCTGTGCTGTGGTATGCGTGTGCATCCATATACAAAGCTGTACACTCAATAAATAAATAAATGTATTTACAAAAAAAAAAAAAAAGGAGAGAGAAGAAATACCTAAACTATAGACCAACCTCTTTGCCAAATGTGAAGTTGGCCACAGGCAGAAAGCTGCCCACCTCTCCCTCCACCTGACCCCTGCCTGTAACTCACCGTATTTCTTGTTAAACAGGTCTTGGACTTGTTCCCTAAGTGTGTTGGCGATGTCAATCCGCGAGAGTCTGGTGTCGTAATTTTCTGCAAAGTGAGTACAATTACGGACAGAGGCTGTTACATTAAAAGGCACTTGGTGACTTTTACAGGAAAACAATTTCCTAATTACAGCGAACTCCTTCTCTAGCAATTAGCAGATCTTTGGAGTGGGCTCCTTAGAGTCCTTCAAAACCAGACTCCACGAGACTCAGTGTGTGTGTTTTGTTTTGTTTTCTTCCTGGAAGGACTCACACTGTTTCCACAACAGCAATGGGATGAAATTAAGTTAATTGTTGACATTTGAAAACCAACAAACTAATAAATAAGCCTGAAAGTAAGACACTAGGGAGAGGGGGTTTCTGTGTCCTCAGCTGGGTAGGAGTTGGAGCAAGGGCTTCAAAAAGCTCAGACGGAAACAGAAGACTAGAAATGGGAGTGTCCACCCAGGGCTATTTATTACTTAGTGGTACAGGGGATGGAGCCCAGAGTCTTGCAGAAGGTACAGAAATACTTTACTACTGAGGCATGCTATCAGCCTCTCACTGAGGAATTCTAGGCAGGGGCTCTACCACTGAACCATGCCCCAACCCCTCACTGGGGGATTCTAGGCAGGTGCTCTACCACTGAGCCACACCCCCAGCTCCTCACTGGGGAATTCTAGGCAGGTGCTCTACCACTGAGCCACACCCCAGCCCCTCACTGGGGAATTCTAGGCAGGTGCTCTACCACTGAGCCACACCCCAGCCCCTCACTGGGGGATTCTAGGCAGGTGTTCTACTGCTGGGCCATGTTGCCAGCTCCTCACAGGGTGGGGAGGACACTAGGCAAGGGCTACCATTCTGAGGAACTGTGATTAAGGACCCCATGTACCAGAATATCAGGACTGCACCTTTGACCTCGGGGAGGGGACATCCTCCCTAGCTTGGGAGAGAAATCGTATGGATGGCAGAGGGAGGAGGAATGCCCTCTGGTGCTTCGAATGCGGTCCTGGTGCCATTCTCCGTCCTCTGAGGGCCTGGATACAGGGATCTAATGGAGGGAGGTGAAATACACACACTCCCCTCACTGTTCCAGCTGCCCGGGACGAGAGTGGGGCTCTGGAGTGGCCAGCAGCTGGCCCTCTGTGAGGTCTCCTAACCCCACCACTGGCCACTGCTGCCTTTCTGAATTCCTCAAAAGTATGGTGGCCACGGAGGGGCCACCTGGTGACAGTCACCCCGGGGCTCACACCAGCCACGCCCATTGGTTCTCTAAGATGCACACACATAGGATGGGGTAGATTTTCAGCTGTATTCTGGTACAGCCGGGATGTGGGCTGACCTCACGCCAACGGGAGCCAGGAGCCTCCCCTTGGCTGCAAGCCCTCCTTTACCAGTTTCCTATAACGCACCGCTTGTCGCCTGCTTTCCTGGCTCTCCACGGACACCGTCCACTCCTTCAGTTTCAAAGCAGTAAGAGCCGGGTTCATGGATGACGACAGAAAGGCAGATGGCGACTACCTAGACAGTAGCTAGCTCTGGAGTCCCTACTGATAGCCAGGCTCTAACTTAGCAGGCACATCAGGCTAGTCCAGTACCCTAGAGCCCACGGGTGGGATCTAGCCCCTTCCCGCTGTCGCTCCCCCCTCTAAAGCCATTCAGGGTCACGACCCTGGAATGCCTAAATGCACATGGGCGTAAACTTACCTTGAAGGCCCTGTCTCTTCGGGGTCTCTTCCGCAAGACGGTCCCAGGAGTCCCTCTCTGGGGGTGGGGTGGGGAGAGAAGGCAGGTGAGGAGGGAGCACCTGGGGTCTCAGGTGGCATCGAGGGGGCAAACCCGACAGGGGCAGTGGGGAAATGCCTAGGGTAGGGGATAGGACAGGGGCATCAGGAGGGGCTACGGCAGAGATTTGGTGCCTCCCACACCCTCCCGAGTGTCTCGACCAGGCCCGGGTGGGTACCTTGCGTATCCACAACAGGCTCTTTGACACCATCGGTGAGCAGTTCGGGTCTAGAAGACATAACCAGTGCCATCAGTGATGTTTGTCCAATCAACCTAGGGTTGTTCAGCCTCCAGATCTGTGCAATGGGCTTTCCTAGCCCTGGCCAACATAGCATTAAGGTCCTTGCCACACGGTGTGTGTGTGTGTGTGTGTGTGTGTAGCCATCTTGGTTGGCAGGAGCTGTCAATGGCTCTGAGCTCTGAGGTTCCTTCGAAGTCCTGGGCTGGCTGATGCCCAGGACTTGACATGATCGAGTCCCTACTGCCTAGCATTGAAACACACGTCGAGGGTGAGTGACTCCCGGGGAAACGATACCTGTGTTTGTGTACACACATTCGTACAGGTGCAACGGAGAGGCCAGAGGCCAACAATTGGTATTCCTTAGTTGCGCTCCACTTTCCTTTTTTTTTTTTTTCTTTTGGATTTTTGAGACAGGGTTTCTCTGTGGCTTTGGAGGCTGTCCTGGAACTCACTCTGTAGACCAGGATGTTCTCAAACTCACAGAGATCCACCTGCCTCTGCCTCCTGAGTGCTGGGATTAGAGGTGTGCGCCACCACCATCCAGCTTTTTTTTCTTTTTTTTCCAAGACAGGGTTTCTCTGTATTGTTTTGGAGCCTGTCCATGCCTTGCAAGGTCTTGTTTTTTAATTGTGTGTGTGTGTGTGTGTGTGTGTGTGTAACAATCCTTTCCCTGGGATCACCTAAGACCACTGGAAAATTCAGATATTTATACATTACAATTCATTAACAGTAGCAACATTACAGTCACGAAGTAGCCAAGAAAATAGCTTTATGTTTGGGGGTCTCCACAACATGTTAGAAAGGTGGAGAATCACTGGTTTATACCTTCCTGCCTTGGCACTTGGCCAAGTGCTGCTATGTAGTTATCACACCCAGTTCTAATCTAGTTTAGAATCAGCAGGGAAAAAAAAGAAAAATTAAAAAAAAAAAACCCAAAACCAATCAGCAGGACACAGTGGCTTGCACCTGTAAGTCCAGAGCACTTGGGAGACTGAGGCAGGAAGATTACTTGGGTCAGCCTGGGCTATACAGTGAGTTTCAGAGTAGCCTGAGATCCTGGTTAGAAACTAAACAAAGACACCCACAAGCCAGGTGGTAGCGGTGCACGCCTTTAATCCCAGCACTCGGGAGGCAGAGGCAGGCGGATGGATCTCTGTGAGTTCGAGACCAGCCTGGTCTACAAAGTGAGTTCCAGGACAGGCTCCAGAGAAATCCTGCTTCAAAACCCCAAAAAAGAAACCCCACAGACAAAAAACCCAAATACATTAAAATTAAAAAACAACTAAATAAAAAAGTAAAGGACAGCCAGGCGTTGGTGGTGTGCGCCTTTAATCCCAGCACTTGGGAGGCAGAGGCAGGCGGATCACTGTGAGTTCGAGGCCAGCCTGGTCTACAAGAGCTAGTTCCAGGACAGCCTCCAAAGCTACAGAGAAACCCTGTCTTGGAAAAAAAAAAAAAAAAAAAAAAAAAGCAAAGGACAACTGGGCAGAGATGGTGCACACCTTTAATCCCAGAGTCCAGGAGGTAGAGGCAGGTAGATTTCTGTGAGTTCGAGGCCAGACTAGTCTACAAAGAGACTTCCAGGAAAGTCAGGACTGTTATAAAAGAAAACCTGTCTCAAAAAAAGAAACAAAACAAAACAAAAAAAAACCAGCAACAAAAAAATTAATTAATTAAAAAAAAAAGGAAAAAAAAAAGATTCTGTAACCTGAACAACAGGGAGGTGCCAGTTTGGTGCTGTGTCTGGCACTGGGCAACTCTGACTGTGTCCTTCATGGGTCTGGCCAGCCCTTATTTCAGTTTTTTTCCCCATTCCTTTCATCTCCCTTCCCCCTCAAGCCTACATTCTTTTCTTTTTCTTTTTTTTTTTCATGTTTTGGTTTTTCGAGACAGGGTTTCTTTGTGGCTTTGGAGGCTGTCCTGGAACTTGCTCTGTAGACCAGGCTGGTCTTGAACTCACAGAGATCCGCCTGCCTCTGCCTCCTGAGTGCTGGGACTAAAGGCGTGCTCCCCCAACGCCGGGCCACTCTTTTCTTTTTTGAGACAGCGTCTCACTAGGTAGACCTGGCTGGCCTGGAACCTGCCACCACAGCAGGCTCAGCCCTTACCTCTTGATGACAAACTGGATGCTGTTGCTAGCTTCCAGAATCTTCCGAAGCTTGGCAATCCCAAAGCAGTTGGGTCTGCGAAGAGAGATGCCTTCAGGCAGTCCCAGTACGAACAGCTCTTCGGGGTGCATCAGGAACTTGGAGTAGGGCACCTTGACTGGCTCCGAGGTACCAATGGCTTTGGCTGTAAGGACATGGCTGCTGTAAGGCCACTTGGAGTCCCAACCCCTGTCCCCACCTCTAAGGGAGTTGCAGGGACCACAGGGGTTTGGAGGTGACGCTCATTTGAACCCCATGAACTTGCCAGAGGGGAGACAAGCACACCTAGCCTGTAGGTAGGATGAGAGTCTACAGGGGAGGTATACACCCCGGGAATGTAACCCCCAAGGCCACTCTTCACTTACGGCTCCGTAACACAGGAACCTCATATGGGATACGACTGTGGGTCCCTCCCGCCCACCTCACTCCCCACCCCGCTACCTTCAAAAACCTCAAACCTTCACAAAGCCTCATGGCATGCCAGATCTGTGGCTAGCTTTATCTGAGCTCTTTGCCCCTGAGTAGCCTGGTTGCCCTAAGCTAACCCCATCACCACGGCAGGCTTCATAGTTCCTCGTTTGTAAAATGGGTCTTAGGGTAAAAGGATGTGAGGAAGAGATGAGAGTCTGAGAAGCCAGCACTGGCAAACTCAAGGAGCTAGAGAGAAGCAGGCTTCAATTTCTTTTTCCTGGACTCTTTGTTTTATTGTAGGAGCTGTGGGTGGAACCCAGAGTATTACCTACCCCCTTTATTGGGGGATCCTAGGCAGGGCTCTACCACTGGGCTACATCTCTTGCCCCTCACTGGGGGATTCTAGGCAGGGGCTCTATCACTGAGCCACACCCCAGCCCCTCACTGGGGGATTCTAGGCAGGGGCTCTACCACTGAGCCACATCTCACTGGAAGATCCTATGCAGGAACTCTCTACCACTGAGCCATGCCCCTGACCCCATCACCCGTGGATCCTAAGAAAACACTGTACTGTTGAGTCACCCTCCCACCCCCTTTCTGGATTCTAGAGAAAGCTAGCTCTTGCTGGGAGTTCCCAGGAAAGCCTGGAGCTGTCCGCGAGGATCTCCGGGGCTGAGACTAACTGACAGCACATGAGCCCGGGAATGAGCTGGCGGAAGAATGTGGGCCGACAGGCCAGCAGGGTGGGATTCTCTGCTAGAGGCTGTCGCCATGGGCGACCATGAGCGTTCCCATCCTGAAGATGGGTCCGAGAGGCCCGTCCCTTGCCCTACTCACCATATTTCGTGTTGAACAGCATCTCCACCTGCTTCCGCAAGGGCCGGATCACATCACCAGGGTTCTCTGGAAGGCAAGGGCGGTGTGCTGAGCTTCCTGGGTGCAGAGTCCCCCCAGCTCTGGAGGTACCAGGAATTACCTCTGAGACTTTGGAAAAGAACAAGGAAATGGCAGCTCTACGCAAGCCTGCAATCCCTGGATTTTGCATACTTGACCGTGAAATGTGCCACAGTGCAAGATCTAGAAGGTTCTGTGGTTGTTCTCAGCATCACTTTTAGATCGGCTCAGTAAGTGACCTAACTAGCCAGTGGGTACAAAGTAAGCCTGCAATTTGCACACACTGCCACCAGGAAGCGCACCAAATGCTTCCTAATCCTTCACAGGTGCCCTGTCTACATCAAGCTGGGTTCTACAAAGTGGCATTCATCTACATCGGGCTGTTTTATTCTAGGGGCAAATGCACTATCGATAAACAAGATTATATTCTTGCCTTGGCCTCTCCACCTACCCTGTTTTGTTCTCAGCAGAGAGAGAAAAAGCAGTTTTGCTCACCAAATCTTCCTTATAGAAAACCTGTTTTATACATTCAAGCTTAAAATCTAGTTCAGGAAGATGAGGGGCACAATCAGTTTAGAATTCTTCATGGAAAGCAACTGAGTGTAAACCAAAGCTTAAACTTCATTCTGACAGATGCCTGCCCGCTCTAGCACAGTCTAGAAATTTCTCCCGCCTGGTACAGTTCACGCAGGACTCCCAGCGCAAACGCAGGATGCTGGAGAGAGGTGATGGATCGGAGGGGGAGCTGCTCATAGGGGTGGAGTGAACATGGAGAGGGAATCATGGGAGACAAGCAGGGTCTTACCTTCTGCCGGCTTTTCTTCCTGCCACGGCTCCTCACTGGGGCCTTTGTCTAGGAGAAAACAGAGGGTGCTAAGAAATCATGCTCAGGGGTGGACAGATGGCTCAGAGGTTAAGAGAACTGGCTGTTCTTCCAGAGGTCCCTGAGTTCAAGTCCCAGTAACCACATGGTGGCTCACAAACTATCCGTAATGAGATCTGGCGCCCTCTTCTGGCCTGCAGGCACACATGCAGGCAGAACACTGTATACACGATAAATAAATGTGGTGGCGCACACAGTTAATTCTAGAGGCAAGGGGATCTCAGTGAGTTCAATGCCAGTCTGGTCTACAAATTCAGTTCCAGGACAGCTAGGACCATCCCACTGAGAAACCCTGTCTCAAAAGGCAAAACATTTACAAAATGTACACACACACACACACACACACACACACACACACACACACACACACACACACACGTAAAAAAGGCTGTACACTATGGTATAATCTCAGCACAGGGAAACTGAGGCAGGAGGCCTGTGGACTGCAGGGTAGCCTGGGCCATGTAGTAAGAAGCTGTCTCAAAAACCCACGGAGACGAAAACCAGCAGTAATAGTTAGTTTTAACTTTTGAAAAAAGTGCTTTTACCTGCTGAGTCATCTCTCCAGCCTCCATTTTTTTTTTTTTGTTTTTGTTTTTACGAGACAGGGTTTCCCTGTATTGTTTTGGAGGCTATCGGTCCAGCCCGGCCTTGAACTCACAGAGATCCGCCTGCCTCTGCCTCCTGAGTGCTGGGATTAAAGGCGTGCGCCACCACCGCCCGGCTTTTTTTTTTTTTTTTTTGGTATTTTGAATCGACTGTCAAGACAGTCTAAATAAGGGGTTGTCTAAATCAGATTGGCCCGTGGACATGCCTATGTATCGATTATGTTAATAGTGTGGGAAGACCCAGACTAAAGAGAGAGGTCCCATTCCCTGCGTCTGGGTAAAAGAATAAAGGAAAAGGAGCAGTGAGTTTGCATTCATTCTCTCTGCTTCTGTCTAGAGATTAACTGATGTGACCAGCGCCTTCCAGTTCCACCATCTTGACTTCCCAGCAACCGGGATCTGCGACCATATAAACCCTTCCTCCTTTACACTGGTTTTGTTGTTGTTGTTGTTGTTTTGTCTTGTCCTTTTTTTGTTGTTGTTAATATCTGTTCTCATCCTAGCAACGTGGGAGGCTGAGTTAAGTGGCTTGTGAGTTTGAGGCAAGTCTGGACTACTCTACCAGTTCAGGAGGGGCTAGACAACTTACTGGGATCCTATCTTAAGAATATGTAAAGGAAAACACACACACACACACACACACACACACACACACACACACACACACACACACACACACGGCTGGGGATGCAGCTTGGCTCGAGAGTGCTTGCCTGGGATGTGCCAGGTCTTGTGTTTGATATAGAGCACACCTTTAGGTTATCTGTATGAGATACAAATAAAACAGAACTTTCCAGAGTCTGGGGAGATGGCTCAGTGGTTAAGAGCAATCACTGCTCTTACAGAAGACCTGAGTTCAGTTCCCAGGACCCACATCAGGCAGCTCACAATTGTCTGTACCTCCAGCTCCAGAGGATCTGATGCCCTCATCTGTCCTCTGGAAAAGCAAAGCACTTTATTTATTTACTTATTTTTTTTTAAGACAGCTCTGGCTACGCTGGGACTCACTTTGTAGATCAGACTGGCCTCAAACTCACAGAAATCCACCTGCTTCTGCCTCCCGGGCGCCGGGATTTAAGGCGTGCGCCACCAATGCCTGGTTATATTACGTTATGTATGTTGTGGTGTATGTGTGCTTTTGTGTGTGAGGAGGGCATATGCATGTGAGGAAACACAAAGAGGTCACAGAACAACTCTCATTACACCCTGTGAGTCCCAGGGATTGAACTCAGGTCATCAGGGTTACACAGCAAGTGCTTTTACCTGTCGAGCTGTCACTAGCCCCCATTTTTGGTCTCACGTAGCCTAAGGTAGCCTAGAACTTGCCATGCAGCCAAGGATAACCTTGAACTTCTGATCCTCCTGCCTCTGTCCCGGCCACACCCAAATGCTGAGATTAATGCCCCACAACATCCGGCTTCTGGGGGGGTTACTTTTACTCGTTCACTTTTCCACCCCCTGCAGGGGCAGGCATGGAACGCAAGCCCCCAAACAGGCTGTTAGCAGTCTACTCCTAGGCTTCCACCCCAGCCAATGAGCTGACAGGTAGACCGAGGTCCCACCCTTGAAAGCATCTTATCAAGCTGCAGATATGGTGCTCCCACATATGTATGGCATGGCTCCTGCGCTGATTCTTCTCTAGATCCCCAGGGTGGTAGGTCCCCAGTATGGCCAGCCCCAGCCCACCTCTTACCAGCCGGCATTTCCATCCCGTAACCGGAATCCTCTGAGGGCAGGTGTCCGGGTAGTGAGTCTGCCATCTCCTCAGAAGTTGGTGAAGGATCTAAAGGGAGACTCCATGTGATGAGAGCATCCTTTACATGTCCTGCCCATCGGGGTCCCTCAGAGGTGCCAATGGGCCAACGGGTCTACAGACCAAGATTCTAAAGAAATCCATGCAGCCAGATGTGACACAGACTGTGGTTTGGTGACCTCAGCTCTCGGGAGGGTGAAGCGAGCAAAACTGAGAGTTTAGGGGCTGCTGAGTGGGTTCAGGGCTGGGTCAGTCAACTCAGTGAGACCTTGTCTCAAAATAAAAAGTGAAAAGGGGACTATGGCTCAGTGGTAGAGCACCTGCCTAGAATCCCCCAGTGAGGGGCTGGGGTATGGCTCAGTGGTAGAGCCCCTGCCTAGAATCCCCCAGTGAGGGGCTGGGGTGTGGCTCAGTGGTAGAGCACCTGCCTAGAATCCCCCAGTGAGGGGCTGGGGTGTGGCTCAGTGGTAGAGCACCTGCCTAGAATCCCCCAGTGAGGGGCTGGGGTGTGGCTCAGTGGTAGAGCACTTGCTCAGCACATGGGAGATCCCAGGCTATATCTCAAACACTGAAAAAAAAATCAGCCCAGATACAATGGCCTGATGGAATAGGCCCCGGGGCAGCAGAGTGGCACAGCTTCTGTTAACCTGCTTGTCCAGGAGCAGAGTACCAACAGTCCTTCAACGTATGTCTTACCTGGGACAGTAACCTGAATGATGTCCAGCTCCTCTGGCTCAATTTTGATGGGCCTCAACATTCCTAGTTCTCCTGAGGTTCCTGCAAGGAGACAAGGGGATCCCCTCAGGCAGGAGCACAGGCACGCCCACGGAAAGGCCAGTCTTTCCAGACATTCACATGTCTGTGACTTGACAGTGAACAACTAGGAAAAGTCACTTTGGACCCTTGGATCCTGCCCAGATCAGGAAGGACCAAATGGCCCTTGGACAAACTCAGGCCAAACCTGGCATGGCTGATTTGAAGGGCTTACAGGTCCACAGGGGTGAAGACGGGGCTGCTTGTCTACGGACACAAAGGTAGACAGGGGTGACGCCAGGATTTGGTTTCCCCCCACTTCCCTCTCCAGAGGGTTCCCAGCATGCTCGACGGCTTGCCCTGTGAAGCCGTGGGGATGGCCACGGGAAGAGGGCTGTCCTGAGTGCTGCGGGTTCACAGCCTGGGCAGGTTTCCTCCCAGCTGTCACGGGGGACTGCTAGCCACCCTCCCGGTTCTATTACACACCAGGGAGACACACCCCTTCTCACCTGGCCCGCAGTCTTCAGAGACGCTGCTCTTGTCTGACCTGAGGAAGCAAGGTCAACCTTGGCAACCTTGTCCTGAGTCACTCTGCCCAGCATGGCTCTGCCCACACTTCAGACACCACTCCCCCACCCCCAGTCTGAGTGTTGCAGAGCCCATTTGTGACCTCAGTACTTGACAGAGGCACACAGGAGGATTGCTGGGAGCTCAAGACTCTGTACACAGGGCTGGAGAGCTGGCTCAGTAGTTAAGAGGGCTTGCTGCTCTTGCAGAGGACCCAAGTGCCGTTCCCAGCACCCACATGGGGGGCTCGCCACCTATAACTCTAGCACTAGCGTACCCAATGCTCTCTGTACACACATGGTTCGGATACATTCAAGCACACCGCAAATGCACATAAAATTAAAAAAAATCTTAAACCAGGCATGGTGGTACACGCCTTTAATCCCAGCACTCGGGAGGCAGAGGCAGGCGGATCTCTGTAAGTTCCAAATAGTCTGGTCTACAAAGTGAGTTTCAAGACTGCCAAGGCTACACAGAGAAACCATGTCTCAAAAAAACAATAAAAAAAATCAAGACCGGGTATGATGGAGTACACTTTAACCACAGCACTAAGGAGGCAGAGGCAGGAGGATCTCTATGATCCAGAGCCTGCTACACACAGTGAGTCCTTGTGTGGAATCCAGGGTCCAAGTGGGGTGATGGAAGCCAGCTAGGTCTCAGCCCTTCCTAGACTGTGCAGATCATAGGTCTAGCCCAGAGCAGAGGAGTGGCCTTACCAAGCAGTCCCAGCCAGGTCCAGCATAGTGTCCCTGCAGACCTCTGTGGAAGTGTCTTCTGGTGGGCTGGCTGGCTCCAGCTTCATGGGGTCTTTGGTAAACTTGTTCCCTGCGAGAAGAATTGGGCTTAAGACCGCAGCTCTTGCCGGGCGTTGGTGGCGCACACCTTTAATCCCAGCACTCGGGAGGCAGAGGCAGGCGGATCTCTGTGAGTTCGAGGCTAGCCTGGTCTACAAAGTGAGTTCCAGGACAGCCTCCAAAGCTGCAGAGAAACCCTGTCTCAAAAAAAAAAAAAAAAAAAAAAAAAAAAAGACCGCAGCTCTTCAGCTAGACGTGGTGGCGCATGCCCATAACCCCAACATTCAGGAGCTAAGGTCGGCTGCCATGAGTTTGATGTCAGTTTGGACTATGACCCTATCTAGTGAACCCCCAATGATAGGGCCTTTCCTGCTGGCGAGAGACACTGGGCAGAGGCTTCTGTAGGACATTCCTAGAGGCACTCCTGGGAGGCGGGAGTCTGAATCTGAACTCTTCTTTGGGGTCTGTGTCTGCAACAGCCAGGAATTCATTCCTGCCTATACCCTGCCCTCATTCTAGAAAGTTCTCTCCACCCCCCCACCAGGACACGATAACACAGGAGCCTCAGGAGAAAGGCTAAGCCCCCACTCCCACCCATTTGCCCCATGGGATCATTTTCTCCTTTAATAAAACCAGAAAGTAGCAGGCAGCTAGCTCCTCTTTTTCTTTCTTTTTCTTTCTTTCTTTTTTTAGTTTTTCAAGACAGGGTTTCTCTGTACGATTCTGACTGTCCTGGAACTCTCTGTGTAGACCAGGCTGGCCTTGAACTCACAGAGATCCACCTGCCTATGCCTCGGGTGCTAGGATTAAAGGAATGTGCCACCACCACTTGGCCAGCTGGTCATCTTGTCATCTCCGTGTCACAGATGAGGGACCTGAGGCCCCAGACAATGCCCAAGGTTTCAAAGCTGCCGGTTAGCAGAGCTTTTAATGGGACTCAGGTACATCAATGCCACAAGGATCTGTGTAGATTTTGGTGGCCAAGGCTTTGGGGCCACAGCAACTAAGAGAAATGTCACGGACACCACTTCTCAGGTGCTTTAGTTGTTTTATCTATGTGTGGGAATGGGATCAGACCCATGTCTGTAGAATGGCTGAAAATCATAATAAGGGTGGTGGCATATGCCTGCACCATCTATAACTCTAGCACTAGCGAACACAATGCTCTCTGTACATACATGGTGTGTATACATTAAAGCACACATATATGCACATAAAAAAATCTTAAACCAGGCATGGTGGCACACGCCTTTAATCCCAGCACTCGGGAGGCAGAGGCAGGCGGATCTCTGTGAGTTCCAGGCCAGCCTGGTCTACAAAGTGAGTTTCAAGACTGCCAAGCAGAACTCATGAGACAGGAGAAGGATCCTGAATCTAAGGCTATCCTGGGCTATCCAGAGGCCAGGCTGAGCTGTATGGCACTGGAAAAGAGATAAATAATGGAGGGAATTAAATAAAAGAAATAAAACAAGGTAGCTCAGGGGCTGGGAAGATTGATCTATAAGCTAAGTGCCTGCCATGCAGTCATGAAAACCTGAATTTGGAGACCCAGCACCCACAGAAAAAGCCAGATGCAGGACCGTATGCCCATAAACCCAGACAAGGGAGGCAATGTCACAATCACTGAGCAAGCTGTCTCCAAAAGGAATTAAGATGGAGAGCGGCTGTGGAGGATGGTTCAAGGACCAGGTGGACTTCTGGTCTCCACACGGACACACGGACATGGACACACGGACACACACACACACACACACACACACACACACACACACACACACACACACACACACACACGCCAACAAAGACAAAAACCAAGGTAGTCCCGAAGGGAAGCTGGCTATATGTTTAGCAAATGGTATTACTATTTCCTCCAAGGGGACTGAAACTCTACAAGGTTCTAGTCTGTCAGCCGCTGGGAGCCCAGAGACCACATATGATCCTAAGATGCCGAAGGGGACTTAAGGGAAAAGGGTCAGTTTGAGGAGACACCAACTCCAGAACAGACCACCCGGTGGGACCCACTTACCTGTGAAAATGCGTTCATCAAACATCCTGGGAAGAGAGGAAAGACATCATGAGAATGACGCAGGCTGCTCCCATCAGGGATGGGCACGGAGCTCACTGGTGCAGTTCTTAGAGCCACAGACTAGGGCACGGGGCTGGCCACGCACATGGCTGGGGAGTGACGGCTGTTAATCCTGCCAACCTGATGGGACTTACAACCACCACGGAAACAAACCTCTGGTCATGTCCGCAAGGGAGTTTCTAAACTAGTTAACTGAAGAGGGAAGCTCCCCATCCCAAACGTGGGGGGCCCCGTCCCATGGGCTGGGGCCCTGGGCTGACTCAAAAGAAGGCAGCTGGGCATATGTGTTCATCTCTTCACTTCCGGACTGAGGACACACTGTGAGCAGCCACCGCACGCTCCTGCTGCCGACTTCTCACCCTGACGGACTGTGTACTCAAGCTCACGTCCCGTTGTCACCCTGGCCATGAAAGACCTGTACTGGGTTTTTTGTTTTTAAAGACAGGGTCTGGTGTAGCCCAGGCTGACCTCAAACTCCCTACGCAGCCAAGGATGACCCCGAATCCTTGATCCTTTTGCCTCCACCACGTACGTGCTGGAATTACAGGCCTGTAACGCCACGCCTTGTTTGCAGTGCTGGGTATGGAAGCTGCCAGGGCTTCGAGAATGCCAGGCAGGCACGCTGCCCACTGAACCACATCGCCACCCCTAGACCCGTTCATTAAGGCCTGTCACGCCCGTGTCTCACTAAGAGCCAGGCTTGGCAAAAAAGCAACTTGGAGCAAATGACCTATCACAGAGGCTCCTTCAGGGGTGTTCCCAGAAAGCAGAGACCCCAAGCAAGGGCAGAAACTAGGGTGTTATGTAGCCAGCTAGAACAAGGTCCTTATAGTGACGTGTAGTGATGACATGCTCACACACGGGGACTTCCACTCTTGGGACCTACAGGGCCCCTGAACCTTGGGACAGGGTCCCCTCATTGATGGACCAACTAGAGGGGAAGAACCTGGGGCCGGGGATGGTTCAAGGACCGAGGCACCCAGATAAAGCAACTGGAGCCCAGGCCAAGAACGGAGGCGTCTGCCCGTAATGCCAACATGTGGGAGGCCAAGCCAGGAGGATCTTGAGCTCGAGGCCATGGGCTATGTATTATGACCTCATCTCAGCTAACAAAACAACAGTTATTCTCGACATGACCATACAAGGGGAAGACGTTCCAAAGAGAAAGGCGTCCAGGGGGTCAGGGTTGGAGTCACGTGTGACACAAACCAGAGTCACTTGACGAGCCACCAACATCAGATTGGGCTGTGGATGTGTCTGTGAGGAATTGTGTGAATTCATGCCCACTGTGGGCGGCACCATTCCCTAGGCAGGTGATCCTGGGCTGTGGAAGAAAGCCAGCAGAGCCTGAGCAGGGGGGGAGTCACAGACTGAGCCAGTGAGCCGCACTCCTCTGGGGTTCCTGCTCCAGTTCCTGCCCTGGCTTTCCTCAGCCGTGGACTGTGACCTGGAATCGGGAATGAACCCCTCTTCCCCAGTGAAGGTGCTTTCGGTCACCGTGTCCGTTACAGCAGCAGGAAGAAACTAGGGTAGGAGGCTGAGCATGTAACTGGGGGTGACTATGGGGAGAGTGCCCGTGTGGAAATGTCACGAAACCTACTGGATATTCAGTCTAAGTTAGCTTGCTCACAGTACATGAGACCCTGTCTTTAAAAACACAAACAGAAACAAAACCCAAAAAAAACCCAAAACAGAACAGAACCAAACAACAACAATAACAAAAAACTAGCCAGGAACATCGGTGCACGCTTCTAATCACAGGACGTGGGAGGACAGAGACAGGCAGACCTCCGTGAGTTTGAGGCCAACCTGATCTACACAGTAAGTTCCAGGACAGCAAAAGACACATGGCGAGACCTTGGATGGGTGGAGGGAGCCAACTCAAGGTAGACTGAGTTGGGTGTCTAGGTTAAGGCTCAGGACATGAAATCTGAACGTGACTTCCTGATCTTTTGAGAGACTGGGGCCTCCCTGTTGTTCCTGGAGCTCTGGGAGCTCACACACATCTGGATACCCCAAGGCCTGAAGCAGCCAGAAAACAATGCCAGTGGGAACTCACTTCCTGTCTGGGGGGCCACTGACCCAGCAGCTGAAGAATTAACAGGGGACCATTATTTATGAAGTACTGTGTTGGGGGAGGTACGGTCAGAATAAAGGGGTATTTTTTTTGTGTGTGGTTTTACGAGACAGGGTTTCTCTGTATTGTTTTGGAGGCTGTCGGTCCAGCCTGGCCTCGAACTCACAGAGATCCGCCTGCCTCTGCCTCCCGAGTGCTGGGATTAAAGGCGTGCGCCACCACCGCCTGGCACGGGGTATTTTTTTTTTAAAAGATATATTTGTTTATTATGTATACAGTGTTTTGTTTGCATGTATGCATGCAGGCCAGAAGAGGGCGCCAGATCTCATTACATATGGTTGTGAGCCACCATGTGGTTGTTGGAACTTGAACTCTCAGGATCTTTGGAAGAGCAGTCAGGGCTCTTAACCTCTGAGCCATCTCTCCAGCCCCTAATGGGGTTTCACATCATTTTTGGAGGCAGAGGAAAAAGGGCAGATGCCCTCATAGGATGTCTGGGCTGGAGGACATACTAGGCGGACTAGTGTCCCAAAGCACAGTCCTGAGTTCTAGAATCTGCTGCTCTTTTTGCTGTTGTGACTCTGAGGACAGAAAAATCTAGTGTCTCACACATTAGGCAGGTGCTCTACCACTGAGCCACACCCCCAGCCCCTCCCTCAGGGATTCTAGGCAGGGGCTCTACCACTGAGCCACACCCCAGCTCCTCACTGGGGGAGTCCAGGCAGGTGCTGTCTCACAGAACCAAGGCAATTCACACCTCTTGATTATGAAGTGGATGCTGTGTCGCTCCTCCAGAATCCGCTTCAGCTTGGGCACCCCATAAGTACAGGGTCGCTTGAAGGGGATCTTGTCCGGGATGCCCACAATTTCCACAGCCTCGGGATCACAGGCAATCTTCCGATAGGGGACAGGAACCATGTGGTCCAGGCCCAGGGCTTCCGCTGGAAGGGCAAGAACAAGGATGAGCGCAAGAGACAAGTCACAGGACCCTGTGGGCCAGAACCCAGGTCACGGTCTCTTCCATCTAAAACGGCAGCGCTGTGTAGTGACAGAAACGACCACGTCACCTTTCTCTCACTTCTTTTTACTTTTTGAAACAGAGCCTCACTGTGTAGATCAGGCTGGCCTCAAACTCAGCTGTTTCACAGGGTCGGATCTCAGCCACTGGCTGGCCTCTCTGTTTCTTTTTTCTTTTTAAAAATGAGACAAGCCGGGCGGTGGTGGCGCACGCCTTTAATCCCAGCACTCGGGAGGCAGAGGCAGGCGGATCTCTGTGAGTTCGAGGCTGGGCTGGACCGATAGCCTCCAAAACAATACAGAGAAACCCTGTTTCGTAAAAACCAAAAAAGAACAGTGTCACTTTGACCAGAGTCTTTTTTTTTTTTTTTTTTTTTTTTTTGACTTTTCAAGACAGGGTTTCTCTGTAGCTTTGGAGGCTGTCCTGGAACTTGCTCTATAGACCAGGCTGGCCTCGAACTCACAGAAACTCACTTGCCTCTGCCTCCTGAGTGCTGGGATTAAAAGAGTGTGCCACCAATGCCTGGCCGAGAGTCCTTTTTTTTTTCTTAACACTTAAAAAAGTTTACTCCTGAGCTGGAAAGGTGGCTCAGCGGTTAAGAGCGCTGACTACTGTTCTTCCAAAGGTCCTGAGTTCAATTCCGGGCAACCGCATGGTGGCTCACAACCACTTTGAATGAGCTTTGATGCTCTCTGCTGGCAGGCAGAAGATTATATACATACATAAATAAAATAATAAAAAGAGTTTACCTTCCTGTACCAGCTGAGCCATCCTCCTGCTCCCCTGCATGTACTTGAGACAGGGTCTTGTTACATTCCCCAGGTTGGTATCAAACTCACAGCAATCCTCCTGCCTCAGTCTCCCAAGGGGCTGGGCTTGCCAAGCACCAACTACTGCTTATTTTCCTGAGGGTGAGCTGATCCTTGCTCTGGGCATTCCCTGTTCCCCTCAGGGTCATGTCCTTGCAGCTCAGAGCTGTCCTCAGCCACTCACTGGCCACATCAGGGCTGGGCAGGGTAGCCCAGGCTACTACAAGAGCAGCTCATTGCTTTCTTGTCCTGGGTCTGTCTGGTGGCCGTAGTGGTGGCGGTGGTGGCGGTGGCGGCGGCGGCGGCATTGGCAGCCAGCTTTATACTCTACACTTAGCTCGTTGTCAAATTAAACCTTTGAAATCTCCACAGCTGTCAATCATTTCTCCCCACCCCTCAACCTCCGCCTCCTGTCTGGTGGTGAGCCCACCCTGCTTGCCTTCAGTGAACTCATGGCCACGGAATGTCAGCCTCAGAGACTTTTTTTTCTAAGATGGGGGTCTCTTTGAATTCACAGTCCTCCTGCCTCCATCTCCAAAGTGCTGGGGTTATAGGTGTACTCCACTCCGCCTGGTGTATGTGGCGTGGGGGATGGAAGCCTGGGCTTCACACACGCACTCTAACAGCTAACCACATTCTCAGCCTCTGACAGGATCTCTCTTTAGAGCCCAGGAAGGCCTGCAATTCTTAAATCCTTTCGTCCCCGCCTCAAGAACGGAGGGACTACAAGTGTATCCCACCAAGCCTGCTCTCTCTACACTTTTTTCCCCCCTGAGACAGGGATTCTCTGTGTAACAGCCCTGGCTGTCCTGGAACTCACTCTGTAGACCAGACTGGCCTCGAATTTACAGAGATCTGCCTGCCTCTGCCTCCCGAGTGCTGGGATCCAAGGTTTGCGCCTCCACTGCCAGGACAGCTGGGGAGATGGCTTATCGATTAAGAGTACAGGTTGAAGCTGGGCGGTGGTGGCGCACGCCTTTAATCCCAGCACTCGGGAGGCAGAGGCAGGCGGATCTCTGTGAGTTCCAGGCCAACCTGGTCTACATTAGCTAGTTCCAGAACAACCTCCAAAGCCACAGAGAAACCCTGTCTCGGAAAACCAAAACAAAACAACAACAACAACAAAAAGAGTACAGACTGTTTTTCCAGAGAACCAGGTTCAATTCCCAGCACCCACATGGTAGCTCAAAACTTTAAAAAAAAAATGTTGACATTGAACAGCACCACCACTGCCCGGCTTTCTTTTTTGGGGGGCAGGTTTTCATTCCCATCTCTTTACCGGGTTAATTCCCTGTCTGACACCTGTAGGTACCGTACAGCTACTCGAGTATCGGCATGCAGGCACCCACTGAGGTATGCATCTGCATACGCGCATCCTTCAGGTGTTGGTGGCTGTGGTGCTTGGACATAAAGTCGTCCTCCCGTACAGAGGACCTCTTGCCTGTCTTGTTATGTCTCAGGCTTTACTGAGTGAGGTGCTCTGTCCTGGAGACAAACTCCAAATATTTTCTAAAACTCAGCTTTTGGATCATCTCCAACAGTGTCTACCTCCCCAAAGTGAAAAGGTCCTGTTAGGCAGAGGACATAAAACAGGCAGACAAAGCAGGAAAGCCAGAAGGTGGCACATAGCTGGGAATCCTAGCACTGCAGGCATGGAGGCAGGAGGATTACTGTAAGTTCAAAGCCAGCCTAGACTATAGAGCAAAACCTTACCTAAGATAGATAGATAGATGATAGACAGACAGACAGACAGAATAAAGGTACCAGATTGTGGCTCAACTGGGAATGTCCCCTAGCACACACAAAGCCCCGAATTCCATCCCCAGCCTTGAATAAACTGGGCATGGTGGCGCATTCCTCTAATAGAACACTCAGGAGGTAGAGGCTGGGGGATCAGAAGTTCAAGGTCACCCTTGGTTACAAAGGGAGTTCAAAGGCAGCCTAGGTGAAGGGAGGATGTAAGGAAGGTAAATTGGTCACGCATACAATCATGGTATTTGGTGGGTAGAGCCAAGGCTAGCCTTGGCTATGGAGTTAAAGAGCTCATCTCCAAAAGTCTAAAAGAGGGGAGGAGAGATGGTTTGATGGGTAAAGGCAGTTTATTGCCAAGGCCAACAACTGAATTTGATCCATGGAACCCGTATGGTAGAGAATCGACTTCTGAAGTCTGTCCTCCGTACATACGTGTGCCATGACACACTCCAGCCTACGCACATACACACAGACACAAATGAAAGTGAAACACTCACACGGCAGAGGCAGAGGCAGGTGGATGTCTAAGTTGGAGGCCAGCCTGGTCTACAGAGTGAGTTCCAAGACAGCCAGGGCTACACAGAGAAACCCTATCTCAAAATAAATAAATAAATAAACAAAACATTCACACACCCAAAACAACAAAATCACACAGAAAAGGCAAGGGCTGGTAGGGATGACAGCTCACCAGGTACAGGCACTTAACACCAAGCCCGGTACCTAAATGAATGATGGATAGGGACAATCAAATCCCAAAAGCTGTCCTCTGACCTGCACACAGGCACACACACAATTGTATATAATTAAAAAGTCTTAGCTCAGTTGGCTAAGTGCCTCTCTTACAAACACACAGATATAATTTTGATGCCTAGAACTGGTGCAAAAAAAAAAAAAAAAGATCAGGAGTGTAGCTTGCTTGCACTTGTAAACCCCAACATAGGAGATATGGAAACGTCGGGCCCCCGAGGCTCATTAGCCAGCCCACACCTACTTACTGAGTCCCAAGCCAGTAAGAGACCTTGTCTCAAAACAAAACGAAACAAAAAACCCCAAAAGATCAGGACACAGAGTGAGGACAGCCAGTAAGAAGGTTATGTTGGCTAGTTTTGTCAACCTGATACAAGCCAGAGTCATTTGGGAAGAGGGAACTTCAACTGAGAAAATGCCCCCACTATGGGCAAGTCTGCGGGGCATCCTCTTGACTGATGATCGACGTGGGCGGGGCCGGTTCACATTGGGCAATGTCACACCGGGTTGGTGGCTCCAGGTGGCAAACGGATAAGCAAGTGTGCCTCCACGGCCTCTGCTTCCTCCCATTCCTGCCTCCAGGCGCCCGCCCTGAGTCCCTGCCCTGTCTTGCTTCAGTCACGGAGTGTGACCGAGGGTTATGAGCCGAAACAAACCCTTCCCTTTCCAGGCTGATGCTGGTCATGGTGTTTCATCGCAGCAACAGGATCCCAAGACATGGTTCAGGCCTTAGAGAGCTTGCTGCCAAGCCCGACGAGCCTAACTTGGTATCTGGGAGCCCAACAGTGGAAGGAAAGGCCCGACTCCTACAAACTATCTTTTGGTCTCTACACTTGCACTGTGGGATGTACACACACACACACACACACACACACACTCACTCACACTCACACAGACACATACACACATATTAAACATTTTGTTTTGTTTTTTGAATTTTTTCCATCCAGGGTTTCTTTGTATAGTCCTAGCTGTCCTGGAATTCCCTCTGCAGCCAAGGCTGGCCTCCAACTCAGATCCTCCTGCCTCTGCCTCCCAAGTGTGTCATCACTGCCCAGCCATAACTATTTTCTTCTTAAAAGATAAGGCCTCACTTTGTACCTCTCCAGCTGGGATAGAACTTTTTATGGAACCCTGGCTTCCACCCCAGGCACCACAGAATATTGGATGTAGTGGTACCCCAGACCTCAGGCATTAGAGGAAAGAGGAAAAGTTCAAGGTCACTCTCATTTACATAGCAATTTCAATGCTGACCCGGGCTACATAAGTCTGTCTCAGCCACAGCACACAGCACAAGGTGGATAATGCCTAAAAAATGATACCTGAGGAGCTGGAGAGATGGCTCAGCGGTTAAGAGCACTGACTGCTCTTCTAAAGGACCGGAGTTCAATTCCCAGCACCCACATGGCAGCTCACAATGGTTTGTAACTCCAGTTCCAAGGAATCCAACACCCTCATACAGGCAAACCAATGTACATGAAATAAAAATAATTAAAAAGAAAAAAAAAAAACCCTGAGCTTGTCCTCTGTCCTCAACACACATATACACATATGTGCAACTACACACATATATGCTTGCATACACAACAAAAATAGAGTACAACACGGGGCTGTTGGAGCAGTACAACAAGTCAACAGAGAGCAAACATGTCCCCCTGCCCATCTTCCCACGGTCGACTCAAGGTCTGGGGACCTGCCACCATGCCACCCCCACAGAGAATCCGCAAGGCAAATATTGACACAGCCACCCTCTCCCCTGACAGGGAGAGCCCACGCCGGATGCCATCCTCGCTGACGCTGTGCGGGCGCCAGCATATGGCTCCTGCTGTTGTGTTGGGGAACACAAGCGACTGCCGCACATAATGAGATGCTCACCCGGTGGGCTGCGCCGCCCACTCACCGTATCTGCTGTTAAACAGGATCTGCACGCACTCCCGCAATGTGTTGATGTCCTCCATCTCCTTGATGAAGACGTCCCACTTCTCTATCAAAACACAGAAGGCTCAGTGAGGGCTGGTCCCCAAAGAGAGGGCCGGTCCCCAAAGAGAGGATCTGTCCCCAAAGAGAGGATCGGTCCCCAAAGAGAGGGCCGGTCCCCAAAGTGAGGGCCGGTCCCCAAAGAGAGGATCAGTCCCCAAAGAGAGGATCGTTCCCCAAAGTGAGGGCCGGTCCACAAAGTGGGAGCCGCCTCCTGTGAGAGCCCCCAGCTCCTGCAGTCTCCCTCCTGGTGCCTAGGTGTCATTCTAAAGCACGCAGCCCTCCCACCCACTGTCACCTCAGCCCCTGTGCAATTCAGGGTGCTCAGACAGTGTTCCCTCTGTATCTCGCAGAGACTCCTGTAGGCTCAGATCTGTCTCTTCCCCACGCCATACCACCTCAGGCAGGCAAAAGCCCGGGAACGTCTCTTGAGGAAAGAGAGTCTCACTATGTAGACCAGGTTAGAGTGGATTTGAAATCCTCCTGCCTCAGCCTTGTGAGTGCTGGGAAGACAGGTATGTGTCCCTGTGCCTAGGGGATTAGGCAGTGCTAGTACCGGGGCCTAGGGCCCTGTGCATGCTAGAGAAGTGATCCATCGTCCAGCCAAGCTCCCAGCCCCTCCTTGAAACTCGAGGCCGGTGCTCCAGTGCTGAGGCACACCCCATGTCCCTCACTGAGGGACTAAAACAAAAAAATGCGACCATTCAGTCACATTCCCAGCCTCCACATACATTCTTCTTTTCCTTTCTTTAGAGATAGGCCCTTACTGCATAGCCCAGGTTAGCCTCAAAGGAGAGCTTTGGGAGCTGCCCATGCATTGCTCCTTTTTTTCTTTTTTTCCTTTTTTTTTGAGGCAGGGTGTCACTATGTAGCTCTGGCAGGCCTGGTACTTTTTCTTTCTTCCTCTGGTACCTTCTACGTAAACCAGGCTGGCCTTGAGCTCACAGAGATCCTCCGGCCTCTGCTTCCTGAGTGCTGAATTAAAGGCACACACCTAACTTTTTTGGTATTTCTTCTCTCGTGAGGAGTATAACTCTTCCTCCTGGCTGGAACATTCTGGGCTTCAGAAATGACAGTCATTTCTGAAGTGAGGTCATGAAAAAACAGAGGCTTTCTCTTTTCTGTGTCTCGGACCACCAAGTCTGAGAACACCAGCCGCTGGGTTGCAGAGCCTGCTCAGCTGACCTGATGCAAATAAACCAGCCCAGACGGTTTAGAACTGAAGCTTTTGCCCATGGCCGCCAAGGGTGGCCTGACACATGGCTCTCCATCTTTAGTCAAGCCTTGCGATTAGACTGCAGCCCAGCTGACACCATGCCTACAAGCTTGAGAGAGACCCTACACCACAAACTACTCCCTCATCTGCTGCGATAATAATCAGGTTTGCTCTGGCAACGTGACAGGATTCAAAATCACCATGGAAACGACCCTCTGGGTGTGTTGTCTGTGAGAGACCTTCTAGACTGGGCTCACAAAGTTGGGAAGACCCATGCTAACTGTAGGCAACACCATTCCACAGCAGAAGATCCCAGACCATATAAAAAGGAGAACTCAAGCTGAACATTCGCCTCTTCCGGTCTCTGAGTGTGTGACCAGCCACCTCACGCTCCTATCTATGTCTTCTGCAACCCGATGGACTGTAACCCCTCAAACCGTGAGCTACAACCAAGTCTTTCTCCCTTAAGTTACTTTTGGTCAGCTATCTTAATCACACAGCAAAGAGAAAAGTAACTCCGTGGCAACAACGAGAAAACCAATATACACAAAGAAACTATGTAGCAACAAACGTTTGTTTAAAGATCAAGTTTGGGGATATCTGTGACATCCACGGATATTATACACCCAGGTTTGACTCCCAGCCCCTTGGGCAAAACTGCTCATCTCCTTTCTCACCACTATCTGATGGACCCGTTTTCATCACAGAAAACCACTCTGCCCAGGTCACTGCCAAAGGAGCCGGCCTACCTGACTTGTCATGGACGATGGAGAAGAGGATACGCTTGGAGGCATGGACATTCTGGATGAGAGGCCCAGCGGGCCCTGCGGGCTTCTGTCCTGAACAAGGGGGAAACGAGAGGCATACATTTTGGAGGGATCCCGCATGCCTCAGAGAAACGAGAACTGAGCCCCGTGATGATGAGGTTCCAGGCCAGACCCCCAAACTACAGATCTCAGTTGCTCTATACCAGACTTGGAGACCCAGGGGCAGGCACCATGAGAGCAGGATGTTAGCTCAACTTTCTTTTCTTGTTCTTTTAATTACATTTAATCACTTTTTTATAAAGATCAAAGGACAACTCATGGGAGGTGGTTCTCTCTTGCTTTGTAGGTCCCAGGAGTTTAACTGAGGTCATTGGGCTTGGTGACAAAGGCCTTTAGCTAGGCAAGTGCTTGATTAACTGAGCCATGTCCTCCAACACCCAAGTCTGAAGCATTTACTTTAGGAATCTTGTTTGTTTTTTCCAGACAGTCTTTCTCTGTATAACAGCTCTGCCTGTCTAGAAATTTGCTTTGTAGACCAGATGGCCCCAAAACTCAGAGATGGGCCTGCCTTTGTTTCCCAAGTGCTAGGATTAAAGGCACGTGCCACCACTGCCTGGCTGCTTTAGGAATCTCGATCCCAAGTATCTTAGATAAGGGATAGTCCACATGCATCCCACTTCACAAACGAGGAAAATGAGACCAGTGAGATTGAGACTTGCCCTGGCACACACAGCCAGGATACAGACCACATCTTCATACCCTGCTGCTCCTTCTCTTAGGCCCCCAGGTCCTGAATTAAAGCAGGGTGTGCAGTAGGTGCTCATTAAATGCATATGGGCTGATTATTTTATTCCCTTTTTATTTTTATTTTATCTATCTATTTATTTATTAATTTATTTTTTGGTTTTTCGAGACAGGGTTTCTCTGTGGCTTTGGAGGCTGTCCTGGAACTAGCTCTTGTAGACCAGGCTGGCCTCGAACTCACAGAGATCCGCCTGCCTCTGCCTCCAGAGTGCTGGGATTAAAGGCGTGCGCCACCAACGCCTGGCTTTATTCCCTTTTTAAATCACACTCATCTCTTGTGGGTGTGTGCACAAGATGCATGTGCGGAGGTCAGAGGACAACTTGGGGGATCCAATATTCTCCCCCCAATTCGTGATTGGACTCAGGTCATCAAGCCGGTTGGCAAGCGCCTTACCAGCTGGACCATCATCTCGTCATTCCTGGTTACGTTTATTTATGCTCTTCCCAGCCTCCTGGGGGTGAAGATGCCTCTGGGTCCCATCCAAGGTCTGCTCAGAAGGTCAAGTGGAGGCCCCAGCTTAACTGGGTCTCAACAGAATGGAATAGGCAAAACCCACCCCTCCCCAGAAATGCCTCCTCCTTAGGGCAACCACCCAGAGAGACACGCAGGTCCTCACTGCAGCATTACCACAGCAGTCAGAGAAATCTTGGGCACTGGGGACCTGGGGCTCAGGCCCAGGCCAGCCCAAGCTCAGGTCGCTGGGGGTCAACGGGCAGGTGGGCGCCTCCTGCTTGAGTTCCCGGATGGTGTGGTTGGGCACTGAAGTGCTGTACAGGAAGTTGGCCACGGCAGATGGGGTGGCGGTGGGGGGCAGGTCCTGGGGAGTGACCTTGGAGGCCTGGCCATGCAGACCGCAGTCTCGGGAGCCCTTGGGCAGCAGGGAGATGCCGTTCATCTCCACCAGAGCCTTTGAGTCCCGCCCACTATCATCAGGCGGCCTGGGTGAAGGAGAAGAGATAGTGACTGCCTTGAATACCTGCTCTCATCTCTCCCCTCACAGCCCATGTGACGCCCTACAGGATGTAACAGACCTGGGGTACTACAGGTGTTTCAACGAGGTGGGATGGGAGCCAGGCCCTACATTAGTCAGGGATGCAGGCCTGGTGGTGGCCTGGGCATAATGCACCTGGCACCAGGTGGCAACCACTGGAAGACCCAAGCCGGCACCAAGCTACCTCAGTTTTCCAAACCGCCAACCCCATCCTCCACCTGGTTCCCTCCCATCCCATCTCTCCCTCCTCATACCAGCTCATGCACTGCTGGGGAAGATTTAGCAGCTGTGTGCTGTATGGAGTCGCCGGCTACACTGGGCCCAGCCCTGACCTCACCTCCCCGTTAGTCTGTTACGAATCTCGCTCACAGCCCAAGCTCACATCCGGGTCAGGAGGTTCTCCTAGCTCAAGCCTTGTAAAATCAACTCATGTTTTTGAGGTAAAGGTCTCATAAGGCCAAGGTCACCTCAAACTTACTATGCAGTTGAGGATAACCTTGAACCCTCGATCCTGACCTCTGCACATCCCTTCGGTGTGACTCTTTCCTAAGCCCGAATTCTTCTGGACACAGTGACGCAGAAGTCCCTTGGGAAACTCCCACAGCCATGCCCTGATTCAGATTACACTGTATGGCTGGGCCTTAGAATTGATTCCTCCCACAGACCCAAAGCCTTTCCCTCAGGATGTCTCCAGCTTTCTGCTTTCTGGCTGGGTATGGGGTGTGACAAATCTGTTTGTCTCTTTTTTTTGGGGGGGGGAGGGAGATAATCTCACTATGGCTTGGAATCTGCCACGTAGTCCTGGCTGGCCTGGAATCTGCCAGCGTGGTGTCAAACTCAGACGTCCACCCACCTCTCTGTCCCTCACAAGTGCTGAGATTAAGCCATGGGTCACTGCACCCTCAGAGTTTCAACTGTTTTAATCTGACACTGTCTACAATCACATGGAAGAGTCTCAAAGAGGGATTTAGACCAGGCTGGCCCGTGGGCACGTCTGCAGGGAGACTGTCTTGATTCACTGAGGTGGGAAGGCTAGCTCACTGTGGGTGTCAGTATTCCCTAGGCAAGGGATTCTGAACCGTCTAAGAGAAAGCAAGCTTAGCGGGCATGCGCGCCCAAATTCATTGCTTCTGGCTCTTGACTGTGGATGTAATGTGACTAGCTGCTTCAAATTCCTGGTGACCTGACCTCCCCACAGCGACAAACTGTGACTGAGGATTGTGAGCCAAGCGAGCCCTTTCTCCCTTAATGGGCTTTTGTTGGTATTTTTAACACGGCAAAAGGAAATGAAACTGGGACACGGGCTTACTCACCTCCTGAGTTTAAACCGTATTCGGTGGCTGTGCTCCAAAATGGCCATGAGCGCCTTGGGGTCATACTCAGCTGGCCTCCGGAAGGCCAGGCCCTCGGGCAGTCCCTGCACAGCCAGCAACCCCGGCTCCCTGAGCAGCCTCTCGTAGGGCAAAGGCACCACACTGGCCCTGCCCACAGCCTCACCTGTGGAGGAGTAAACAGTGAGGCTCAGGACTGGCGGGGGCTTGGCCAGACGCACTGGGAGCCAGGCAATGTGAGGTGACTCCCCCTTGGAGAGGGGCTTCAGGTCCCTCACTGCAGTAGACACGGTATAGAATGAACGTGTAGATACAGCCCTGCTGTCTGACGGCGGGAGAGTGGGGACGGGAAGGCCCTGACGCCAAGCTGGTAGTCTGAACTTTGTCAGTGACAGCACGATGAATTTCAACCTCAGGCTCATCTTTTGGGAAGACAGCCTTGGTGCCAGAAGGGAGTGATCTACTGGAAGACCACGGGGCGAGGATGTGGTAAGGGGCAGCTGTCTAGGAAAGGTGACTGGATAGGGACACTCAGGCCTGGGAGTCTGGAGCTGGAAACGGGCTAAGGCAGAGAAAGCCATGTCTGGGGTCTGTTGTTTTGCTCAGAGCATCCACAGTGCAGAAGCAGGGACCTGCTCTGCGGGGTGAGACGGCGACCGGGATGAAGTAGGCGGGGAACAACGAGGTAGAGCTGGGCAGAGTGGGCGGGGCTAGCAGGGGGCGGGGCGGGGTAAGGGCAGGGCTGACCTGGGTGGGGCATTGCTGGCCAACTACACTGGGTGGGGCCCGGCTAGGCAGAACTGGGCTAACGTGGGTAGGGCAGAGCTAAGCAGGGCTAGAGAGAGCACAGCTGGAGTAGACAGGGCTGGGTTGAGATGGGCAGAGCCGGTGGGATTAGAGTATGGCTGGGTGAAGCCGGGTCGAGGTGGGCGGGGCTAGGGTGGGCGGGGCACATCTGAGCAGGGGTGGGCTCCGGTAGGTAGGGCTAAGCAGTCTGGCGCTTGATTGATGGAGTATGGCTAACTAACAGCAGCTGGGCAGGAGTGGGTGGGGCTACACTGGGGGCCGATAGGGCAGAGCTGGGTAGGGCATGGCCAGACAGGAGTAGGCTGAGTTGGGCGGGGCGGGGTGGGGCAGAACTGGTGGGGCTAAATTGGATCTGGCAGGAGAGGCCTGGACTGAAGTGGAAGAATGGGGCTGAGCAGGGCTGGGTAATGGCCGAGGTGGGGTGGGCAGGGCTAAAACAGTTAAGACCTGGCCTAGACTGGCAGAGCAGGTGGGCCTAGGAGTGAAGTAAGGGGGATGGGTCAGGGTGGGTGTGGCTACGCTGGGCGAGCCTGGCTGGGCTGACCTGGACAGAGTGGGATTGGGTCGGGGAGGCTGGGTCAGACACCAGTGGGCAGGGCGAGGCAGGACGGAGCTGAGTGGAGTGAGGATGGGCTAAGCAGGGACCGGAGAGACCTGGCTGGGCCGAGGTGGGCGGGGCTGGGCCGAGGTGGGCGGGGCTTGGTTGATGGATCTGGAGGGGACTGAACTAGACAAGGCAGGTGTGGGTAGGCTGGTCTCCCACCCGCCCCCTTCCGGAATGGAATGAGGAAGGATCTTACTATAAAGAACATCAAACACTTCCTCTACCATCTTCTGCAGCAGGTACACATCCGAGCACTGCTCCAGCGAGGACCGCGGGATGCTCCGGCCACCACCCTCGCAGCGCTGCACCTTTTTAGGGTGTCCTGCTTCTGGATCCTTCCATAGGGGCCCCCCTGTGGGATAAGAGCACACGAGCCACTGGTTGGTGTTAAGCCCCAGAGGCACGAATGAATGAATGAATGAATGAATGAATGAACGAATGAGCACCCTGCTGAGAGCTAGCAAAGGCTGCAGGTCTCAACCTAGCCACACGCTTGCTGGTTGACCTCAGGGTTGTCCTTTCCCTCTCCGAGCCTCAGTTTGCGATGCCTCAAAGAAGCCCATCAAGTCGGGCTCGGAACTGGGGCTCCACGAACATCGGATTCACACACCCCATTCTATATTCACGCCAACCCACTCTCTTTTAACCCACCTAAGCCTGAGTTTTCTGCTCGCCTACATGGAAAACAACGGAGATACAGCCAGGGTTAGTTTTAAATGCCAATGTGTCACAATCTGAGAAAGATGCCTCCAATGAATCATCTAGATCGGTGGTTCTCAACCTGTGGGCCATGACCCCTTCGGGAGGAAGTCAAATGACTCCTTCACAAGGGTTACCTAAGACCGTTGGAAAACACAGATGTTTACAGTGCAATTCACAGCAGTAGCAATGAAAACGATTTTATGGTTGGAGGTCACCACGACATGAAGAATCGTATTAAAGGGTGGCAGCATTAGGAGGTTCTCAACCTAGACCAACTGGCCTATGGGCATCGTCTTGGTTGTTAACTGAGCCAGCACAGCGTGGGCAGCAGTGGAATTGGATCTGAGCTATATGAAACAGGAGAGAGCTGGAGGAGAGCCAACAGCTCCCTGCTCTTGACTGTGGATGTGATGTGACCAGCGCTTGAGTGCCTCCTCTGAAAAGACTGCAGCCTAGAACCGTCAGCCAAATAAACCCTTTCCCCTTCAGTTTTCGTGTATGTGTGTGTGTGGGGGGCTGTTAGGGGGTCTTTATGAAACATTCTTTTAGATTTTTGGGGCAGTGTCTCTCTTATTTGGATCAGGGTGACCTTGAATTCACAGAGGTCTGCCTGCCTCTGACTCCCCAGTGCTGGGATTAAAGTCATGCCTGAAGCTACAACTAAACGGGATGCAAAAGTTCCAGCTATAAACCCCACTAATAATACCTGCAGTGCTGGATTAATCTGGGATGGCTAATCCTAGGGATATGGTCCAGAAGACCATGAAAACTACTAGCAAAACCACCAACAGTAGGTACCTGGATGTCCACAGAGACCCCTGGAATCCCTCGACCCCCATTGGTCCCTACTCTCCATCTATCTCATTGACTTTGAAGGGATGCGGGAGAAAGAGCAAGGGTCTGAGAACCCGAGTCCTGGCCCTGAACCACACTTGATGTGATGGCTACTCTTGGTCGTCGTGGTGACATGGATAAAAATGACCCCCACGCCGGGCGTTGGTGGCCTACGCCTTTAATCCCAGCACTCGGGAGGCAGAGGCAGGCGGATCTCTGTGAGTTCGTGGCCAGCCTGGTCTACAGAGTGAGTTCCAGGACAGCCTCCAAAGCCACAGAGAAACCCTGTCTCGAAAAACCAAAAAAAAAAAAAAAAAAAAAAAAAAATGACCCCACAGGCTCTTAGATTTGAATGCTTGGTCACCAGGGATTGGCTCTATCTGAAAGGATTAAGAGGTGTGGCTCTGCCGGAGGAAGGGTGTCACTGGGGGTGAGCTTTGAGGTTCTAAAAGCCCATGCCACGCCCAGAATCTGTCTGTTCCTGTGGACCTGGATGCAGGGCTCTCAGCTACTGCTCCAGCATCATGTCTGCCTGCTTGCCGCCATGCTCCCCATGATAATAATGGACTAGACCTCGGAAACTGTGAACCAGCCCCATTAAACGGTTTCCTTTATAAGAGCTTCGTGGTTGTGGGGTCTCTTCACAGCAACAGAACACTGACTAAGACAGTTGTCAAACTGATTAAATCTGGAATTAACTAAAACCAAAAGCCTGGGCACACCCGTGAAGGATTTTTTTTCCTTAATTAAATCATCTGAAGTAAGAAGACCCACCACTTCTAATCGGATCTTTGAGGTGGGAAAGATAAACCGTTACTCCAGATATTTGAGGTGGGACGATCCACCTATCATCTGGGCCACACCTCCTGCCGGCAGCCTATAGAAAGGTCTGGAAGAGGACATGGCACTCTTTGCTGTTTCTCTCACGTTCCTTCACTGGCATGAGAGCCTCCTTCTCCAGGGTTCCGGTGTATACTGAAGACCAGCTGAGTTGTCCTCGTGGACTTACCAATTATTGGAATTTTTTTTGTTTGGTTGGTTTGGTGTTTCATGACAGGGTTCCTCTGTGTAGTTTTGGTCACTCTGTAGACCAGGCTGGCTTCTAACTCACAGAGATCCACCTGCTTTTGCCTCCCAATTGCTGGTATTAAAGGCGTGTTCTGCCACTGACTGGTGGATTCTTCTCAACTATTGGACTTTCTTGTTGGGCCCCAGCCCCCTCTGATTTCTGTGCATTGTTTGTTAGCTGATAGTCACAGATGCATCCTGCTCTCTAGTCCTGGCCTACAGCCCCTGCCTTGCCCACCTGACATCAACATCTAGCACGAGGAGAACACAAGCTCTTACACCTGGGGTTTCTCCACTGTGCTGTAAGTCTGCATATAAGGCTGCTCACTCCTTACGGCAGACTCACAGGCAGACATACTGTCACGGAACACACACACACATATTCTCTCTCTCTCTCTCTCTCTCTCTCTCTCTCTCCTGGTAATAAAGGCGGCAGACGCATTCTCTTAGCACAAACAGCTGGACATCTTTCATTTCCCGATATCTTGGACTTGTTTGTGGCACAGACACCACACTTTCTGAAGCTGCTCTAATAAACTGTGTGTGTGTGTGCGCGTGGGTAATAAATTTTCCTCCTGTAAGTTCTGTTTCTCTAGAGAGCCCAAACTAAACATACACCTTCCATCCTGGGCTAAGTCTGTGGGGAAAGGGGAACATGCCCATCGTGCCTCAGTGTCTCATCTGCACACCATCGGTGACCTCTGGGGAAGATAATGAGGTTTCAGGCCAATGGCCCACGATGAAGCACTGTTTGACTCTGACGTTGCTAGGGAGAGTACCTAGGGCCTTAAGAATTCTAGGTAAAGCGCTCCACTGCTGAATCACCTGTCTGGGGAATTCCAGGCCATCAACTACCTCTGAGTCCCCACCCTGACCAAGAACCGTCCATTACCCACTGCTCATGCATACTGTGCACTTCTTACCCCAAAACAAACAACAGAAAACAAGGCAGAGGTCAGAATAAGTGACCTTGCATAGTCAAGTGTCACACACTCACACATGCTTAATATCTTAGCTGGACAACGCCGGTCCCTACCCTCAAATGTACTCAGTCAAGAGAGAGAACTAAGCCGGGCGTTGGTGGCGCACGCCTTTAATCCCAGCACTCAGGAGGCAGAGGCAGGCGGATCTCTGTGAGTTCGAGACCAGCCTGGACTACCAAGCGAGTTCCAGGACAGCCTCCAAAGCCACAGAGAAACCCTGTCTCGAAAAACCAAAAAAAAAAAAAAGAGAGAGAGAGAGAACTAGAGCTGAGAATATGCCTCACTTGGCAGAATGCTCGCCCAACATGTATGAAACCTCTTGGGAAGCTGGAGGCCAGAGAACCAGGAATTCAAATCCAGCCCAGACTACAGAAGAACCTGCCTTAAAACAAGGAAGGGTGGCGCATGCCTTTAATCCCAGATCTCGGGAAGCAGAGGCAGGAGGATCTATCTCTGTGAGATCGAGGTCAGCCTGGTCTACAATAGCTAGTTCCAGGACAGGTTCCAATGCTGTTACAGAGAAACACTGCCTTGAAAAACAAAAACAAAAAGAGGGAATCAGCCAGACGGCTAAGAAGATTTTGGTCATGTTGAAGATATGAGTTCAATTCCTAGGACCCACTTGGTGGGAAAGAAAACTGATTCCACGGATTCTTCTGATGCCTATATGCACGCCACAGCATGCACGTGCCCACACACTTGCACACAATATAAACAGAATATATGTTTAAAAACAAAAAACAGGTAGACTAATAGCTAAGGGTATGGCACAGTAGCAGTGATCTTGCTTAATGAGGCATGAGGGTCCAGGTTCGATTCTCAGCACCATTAAAAAATAGAGTACAGGGTTGGAGAGATGGCTCAGTCGTTAAAGGAAACAGAGAGAGAGAGAGAGAGAGAGAGAGGGAGGGAGGGAGGGAGGGAGGGAGGGAGGGAGGGAGGGAGGGAGGGAGGGAGGGACATATGGATGAGTCTATCGGTAGGATTAAGTGATAGGAGTTGCTGGACAGTTCTAAGCGGCTTCATCTGGAACAAACTTGTGGCTCTGCGGACGGGACAAAGCAGGGGACACAGGGATGGGCCAGAACCCTTGTCCTTTAGAAACAGCAGGGCGCTGGGCATGGAGAACGTGGGGGTACTTACGGCAGAACCTGAGGAAGTCTGACTGTAGCTCCTTCCGCGTGTTCAGAAACATCCTTCCCTTCTCGGTGCCCATCACGAAGACGCTCTCATTGTGTACCGCCACGCAGGCCACCTCCGTGTTCAGCTTGGAGAGCGCTGAGCACTGTCAGGGAGGGGAGGGTGTGTGAGCTAAATCAGCCTGGAACCCACCACTCGGGAGGCTGAGACAGGATGGTGGAGAGTTTGGGGCTAGCCCTAGCTACAGAGATGGGGCTTCTGAGGAGAGATGAGTTCTCCAGCCCACTGTGGCAGCCCTCTCTAAGCAGTAAAAATGGGCACCGTGCAGCCTGGAGAACGTGGCAGTAGAATTTCAATATTATGGTTATAGGAAGGGCTGTCAAGATGGCTCCGTGGGGAAACCGCTTGTCTTCCAAGCACAAAGACCTGAGTTTGATTCCCAGTACTCACGAGCCTGGCCTCATCTAATCTCAGAAGCTAAGCAGGGTCGGGCCTGGTATTTGGATGGGAGACTGCTTGCAAGTACTATGTGCTATAGGCTTAGCTGGGTATGCTGGCTCACATCTGTAATCTCAGCACTCAGGGAGTCTGAGGCCGGAGGACTGCCATGAGTTTGAGGCCAGCCTGGGCTACACAGTTAAGTTCAGGTCATCCTGAACTACAGAGTGAGATCCTGTTTCAAACAAACAAGCCAAGAAACAAAACAAAATAAAATAAAAACAAGGTGAAGGGTACCTGAAGAGTGAAACCCATGGTTGCGGTCTCTACATGCATGCATACAATACCTGCACACCCTCTCACACAGAACTCTAGGTGGCTACACCAAACTGGCTTGCTTGTGTGGCCCCCAAGTTATAACCAAGACCACAGTATGAAAATCCTCAAAAACAAATCCCTGTGGCACACAGTCGGCACTTAACAAATGCAGGTCTCGCGCCAACTAGCACTTGAGAAAGCCCTGCTGTGGAATAACCCTTCTGTACACTGTGAAGGTTGCTCTCACTGTTTAAATGAAGAGCCAACCGGCCAATAGCTGGACAGGAAGCGGGCAGGTGGGAGAGGCAGACAGAGAGTGCCTGGAAGAAGGGGGCGGAGTCACCAGCCAGATGCAGAGAAAGCATGAAAAAAAGGTACTGCCAGTAGGGTAGGGTGGTGGTGGCGCACGCCTTTAATCCCAGCACTCGGGAGGCAGAAGCAGGCGGATCTCTGTGAGTTCAAGGCCAGCCTGGTCTACAGAGAGCTCCAGGACAGCCTCTAAAACAATAGACGGAAACCCTGTCTTGAAAAACCAAAAAGAAAAAGAAAAGGAAAAAAAAAAAGTAGAGCGTAGATAAAGATTACGGGTTCATTTAAGGTATAAGAGGGCTGGAGAGATGGCTCAGAGGTTGAGAACACTGGCTGTTCTTCCAGAGGTCCTGAGTTCAATTCCCAGCATCCACATGGTGGCTCACAACCATCTGTAATGAGATCTGGTGTCCTCTTCTGGCCGGTAGGCTTACATCCATACAGAACACTACATACATAATAAATACAAAAATCTAAAAAAAAAAATTTAAGGTGTAAGAGCTAGTTAGTAACAAGCCTAAGGTATTGGCTGAACATTTGTAAGTCTCTGTGTGGTTATTTGGGAGCTGGCTGGCAGAACAAAGCTGATTGATGAGACAGAAAATCCCACCTACAAAGTTCTGTGCCGTGTGACCCTAGGACAAGTTCTTCACCTCTTCAGGCCACAATCCTACTTCTTGTGCCAGCCTTACCCAAGCAGGAGCCCCTGGGGAGGACTGAATTTAGGGACCCCCCCTATAGTGTGAGAGATTGACTAAAAACAACAAAATGCAGCCGGGTGGTGGTGGCACACGCCTTTAATCCCAGCATTCAGGAGGCAGAGGCAGGTGGATCTCTGCGAGTTCGAGGCCGGGCTGGACTGACAGCCTCCAAAACAATACAGAGAAACCCTGTCTCGTAAAACCAAAAACAAAAAACAAAAAACAAAAGCAAATCACCACAAGTGGCTGGTGGCACTGTCCATCAGGGCATACGCGTCAGTCATCCCCACCACCACCGACAGGTCAGTGAGGTTCAGGACACACGTGGTGGCCACTGTAGGGAAACAGCCAGCACCCAGTTTATTTCTGAGGGTATCTCCCACTTCGGGCCTACATATGACCCTGAGCAACCCACAAGAGGAATTACCTAGAAAGGAGGCCCCCTATGCTTAGGAGACCAGTGACTCGGTAGCTTATCACGCTGTGTGACCTCAAGCAAGATGCTGCTGTCTCTGACTGTCTACTTTATCATTATAAAAATGCTAATTGATGCCAGGCAGATCTACTTTTTGTTTCTGACTGCTTTGTGTATGTACAGTGCTATGATTCGAACCCAGAGCCTGCTCCAGGTTAAACACTTGCTTTATCAGTGAGCTCAGTCTTAACCTTTCGGGGTTTCACTCTAGCCCAGGGTGGTCTGAAAACCAAGATCTCCCTATTTCCAACCTCCTGACTGGGATTCCAGGCACATGTATGTATGTATGTATGAACATACATATGCATCTTGGTGTCTATACACAAGTTTGCATGTGTGTGTGTGGAAGTCAGAGGACAACCTTAGCTGCTGTTCCTCAGACATCATTCATATTGCTCATTTATTTGTTTATTTGTTTGTGTTTAAGGCAGGGCCATTTGCTGACGTGGGACTTGCCTGGTCGGCTCCCTTAACACTGGGATTTATGAGTGTGCGCCACCAGGCCTGGCTTTTATTTTTTTTTTTTTTTATTTTTTTGTTTTTTGTTTTTTCAGAGAGGGTTTCTTTGTAGCTTTGGAGCCTGTCGTAGAACTTGCTCAGTAGACCAGGCTGGCCTCAAATTCACAGAGATCGGCCTGTCTCTGCCTCCTGAGTGCTGGGATCAAAGGCGTAGGCCAATGCCGCCACTTTAGCGCTTGAGCTGTCTCTCCACGCCTCAGAGACAGATTTTGACGAGTACAACCTCCCAGAGCTCTCCCACCTTGACCTCAGGCCCAATTCCCACCCAGGCAGACACTCACCATAGAGTCTAAGGCGGACACCAGGCTGTTGATGAGTTCGTCTTTGCGGGCGAAGGTGGAGTTCCAGCGCTCAGACCCGCAGCCATTGGTGGGGATGTCACAGTGCTTCCCCAGCAAGGCCATGGTCACCTAGAGAAAGCAATGAGGGCAGAGTGGGTAGCAGACACATGGTACAACTGGGTAGGCACACCTGGCTCCCAAGGCCACTTGGCCTTCACAAGTGGGAAAGCATGTCAACTGGCCTTCCTTCCCATTACTCGGTGGCCTAAAAGGTTTGATAGGGATTTGAGCCTCCACAGGCCAGAAGACAGCAGCTACTACAAAAAACCTGCAGAGATCTAAGTGAATAATGTATAACTACTTCCTCCAATTTGAAACATTCTTGGGGAATTTAAACATTCCCTCCCAGAGGTTCTTGAAACTCAAAAACAAAGCAACTTACATAACTCAGGAAACTCACAAGGCTCAGGAAGCTCACAAGACCCAGGAAACTCAGAAACTCACAAAGCTCGGGAGGCTCAGGAAACTCACAAAGCTCAGGATGCTCAGGAAACTCTTAAGGCTCAGGAAGTTCACAAGACCCAGGAAACTCATAAGGCTCAGGAAGTTCACAAGACCCAGGAGTCTCACAAGGCTCAGGAAGCTCACAAGAGTCGGGAAACTCAGAAGCTCACAAGAGTCGGGAAACTCAGAAGCTCACAAAGCTCAGGAAGGTCAGAAAGTTATAAGATTCACAAGGCTCCTTCCAAAGTCTACAAGCACAGAGAGTGCCGGGCGTTGGTGGCACACGCCTTTAATCCCAGCACTCGGGAGGCAGAGGCAGGCGGATCTCTGTGAGTTTGAGGCCGGGCTGGACCGACAGCCTCAAAAACAATACAGAGAAACCCTGTCTCGAAAAAATTTAAAAAAAAAAAGCACTGAGAGCAACTGTGTGTGAGGCGATGGAGCAGGGATACAGGGCGCTCTTCTCATGCAGAGTTCCAGAGAGACAACTTTTTGTGAGTGGCATCGACCATGCTGAGGTGTACTTTTTGATGAGTCACCCTCAATACAGCATGTAACCCTGTACCCATTGTGGTGGTTTCAATGAGAATGGCTCCCACTGGCTCATATGTCTGACTGCTTTGTCCCCAGGTGGAGAACTGTTTGAGAAGGATTAGGAGGTGTGGTCTTGTTGGGAGTGGGTGTGGCCTTACTGCAGGAAGTGTATCACTGTGGGGTGGGCTCTGATGTTTCAAAAGTTCCCTGCCTGTGGATTAGGACTGTAAAGCTCTCAGCTACCGTTCCAGGGCCATGCCTATCTGCTTCCTGCCATGATAATCAAGCCACGGTAAGCAAGCCCCCAACCAAATGCTCTTTCCCTACAAGTTGTCTTGGCCATGTGTGTGTCCCCTCACAGCAACAATGGAGACATCCATACTTCTGTAAGTAACCAAGCGAACTCTGGATGGAATTCTTTCTTCAGCCTGTTGTCAGTGCCCTCCTGGGGCAGACATTTGGTCATTACTCGCCACGAAAAGACACACAACAAGCCGGGCTGTGGTGGCGCACGCCTTTAGTCCCAGCACTCGGGAGGCAGAGGTAGGCGGAGCTCCATGAGGGCAAGGCTAGCCTGGTCTACCGAGCAAGTTCCAGGGCAGTCAGAGCTACACATAGAGGCCCTATCTCAAAATAAATAAATAAATAAATAAATAAATAAATAAATAGATAAAAAGACATACAACAGTAACACAGCTGAGGGCCGTGGCCCAAGGATCTGAAGTGAGCCCAATACCACGGCGTCAGTCTGCCAGGTAAGTCCTAACTGTCAATGTTTTCCACGTATGTAACTCCAGTCAGTCCTCTCCTGCTCACACACCCTCCGTGGCTCCCTACTGCCCACACACGTTGAACAAGGCCTTCCCCTTACTTTGTAGCCTGGGCTGTTAGTAGTTCCTGATCGTCCTTTCTTCCGCCTGTCAAGTACGGGCTGGAATCACCGGCCTGTGTCCACATCCCTATAACCAACCCTGCTGGAAAGGCAACTGACAGCCTCTTCCATGGCGAGGCTGGTCACTGCCCTCTACAATTCTGTACACGCCTCTGGGCTTGGTCACAAGTTCCCAGATCAAGGCCACTGCCTTGAAGCCCAAGTCTGCTTCCTGGATGTTGGGACGTGGACTTGGGGCAGGTGCAGACAGCCGTAGGAGGGCACAGACACTTCCTCAAACTAGGAATTCCCCAGGAAAGGACTTTGTCCCAACTGACCGGGGCTCCACCTAGATCCTCCTTTAAAGCCGTCTCTGCCTCGCTCAACCCAGACTCCACAGACAAGGCTGCTGATTGCTGGTGGCTGGCTTGGTGACAGTTCTTCCAGAGCTGCCCCTAGGAATGGGGGCGGGGGTCCCCACATGCCGCCTCCCCAGCCCAAGCAGAAAGAACAGGGGCAGGAGCAAGGGCAGGGCACTCCCCGGGCTTGTTCCTAGGGTCCCCTAAGGCCCCTGGCTGGGTGTGTCACCCATGGATAGATCTGTAGATTCCACACCCTGCTTGCCACCTGTCTGCCACCTGTCAACAAAGATTCTAGACGCTCACTGGGTGGGGTAGGGAAAAGCCAGGTGGCAGGGCTCTCCGGGCCCACAGCCTAAAAGGGCACCAAGCTTAGGACGTCTACTGCCACTACAACTGACTTCCACATCGTAAGCTCTGCAAGGGTCACACGGTGTCTGCCCACCATGGCTAACCCTCAGGACCCAATTCACTGTCCCATGTGTTCAGCGGGCCAGGCACAGAATCCCAGACACAGACACAGACACAGACACAGACAGACACACACACACACACACACTCACCCCCAAGCCTGGCTGAAGTGTGGAGGGAAACTCAAGGCAGCGGCAGGTGTCACATGCAGCAGAAAACACCGCACCGTTAGAACAGAACAGAGAAGAAAACAGCTCTGGGCCCAGGACCGGCTCAGATCTGCTCCTGGGCTACAGGAAAAACAAAAACAAAACAAAACTGGTTTTCCAGCCAGTGAAACTGCTCAGAGAGAAAAGGTTCTTACTAAGGACCTGAGTGGACCCCTTGGGACCCACATGGTGGAAGAGAACTGACGTTTGCAAGTTGTCCTCTGACCTCCACAGTCATGTGGTAGCATGTGCAAACACATACATGTACATATACCAAAATAAATCAGTAAAAGTGCAGGGTAAAATAAAAATTAATGGTTTTAGCAGGGCCTTCTGGCCCATCCAGTTATCTTAGCTATCAGATAGCTGAAGCAGGAGCATCCCAAGTCCAAGGATAGCCCAAGCTATGAAGTGAGTTCAAGCCATCCTGGGAAATGTAGTGACATTCTATCTCTAATAACAACATCAAAAGATTTTAAGAGGGCTGTGTATATGGCTCAGCAGTAGAGCATCTGCCTAGAATTCCCCAGTGAGGGGCTGGGGCATAGTTCTATATTAGAGCATCTGCCTAGAATTCCCCAGTGAGGGGCTGGGGCATAGTTCTATATTAGAGCACCTGCCTAGAATCTCCCAGTGAGGGGCTGGGGCATAGTTCTATATTAGAGCACCTGCCTAGAATCTCCCAGTGAGGGGCTGGGGCATAGTTCTATATTAGAGCACCTGCCTAGAATCTCCCAGTGAGGGGCTGGGGCATAGTTCTATATTACAGCACCTGCCTAGAATCTCCCAGTGAGGGGCTGGGGCATAGTTCTATATTACAGCACCTGCCTAGCAAGTTCAAAGCCGTAAATTCCATCCCAGAACCACAAAAATAAGTTAATAATCAATAAATAAGCCATGACCAGGAATTCAAAGGCATCATTGGTTACATGGTGAGTCTTTGAGACCAGCCTGGCTGCATGAGAATCTATCTCAAAACAAGTAACAAAGAAAATAAAAATACCCCCACCTTTAATCCCAGCACTCGGGAGGCAGAGGCAGACTGATCTCTGAGTTCATTTCCAGCCTGGTCTAAAAAGCAAGTTCCACAGCAGCCAGGGTTCCAGAGCTCTTATACAGAGAAACACTGTCTGGAAAAACAACAACTCCCCACCCCACAAAAGAGTGAGAGACATAGCGTGTACATCAGATGGTCACTCAAGGGCATGGGAGACAGGCAGGCCATGGATAGGATGCGCTAAGAGGCTGTTGGTGGCTTTGTCTCGGCTGTTCCGTGGCCCTAGGTCACCCTGCTGGGGGATGGAGAGGGTCTACTGTATAACTGTACTCACTCTCAAGTCCCGAGCCAAGAGATCTGTGCCCGGGAGCCTGAGGCTTCCTGCACAGCCAGTCCTACAGCCATGCTGCCAGCTACTCCTCTGAGCCCTTGGGCCATTCCCAGAAAAATTCTGGGTTGACAGCCGCCCAGCTGCCCAGACCCAAATCAAATTAGAGCCAAGCAAGCGGCAGTAGCTGGCACTTGTGACCTCCAGCTCGCTCCAGGCTGCCCTGACTCCTTTTGGCTAAGGTCCTAATCTACTTAGAACCAGGGACTCTGAGCCAGAGGACTAAGGAGATGGAAGGGAGCTGGGTTGTGGGCTAGCCTAAATCCTGGTCCTAGCTAGCAGGACTTACAGGACCCTCTGTCTCCAAGGGAGTCCAGGTGAGGAGGCACTTGGGAAGTCGCCCGCGCTATGTCGAAACCAAGAAAAGCCCCAGGCCCAGGTATGCTAGGAGCACACAAGTGTAAGCGGGTTCGTTAGCAAAAGCAGGGCCAAACGAAAGGGAAAACAAGGCTAGCGAGACGGCTCAGTGGGCAAAGGCACCTGCTACCCAACCCGCCAAGTCTGATCCCTTGATGTGCACGGTAATAGAAGGAGACAACCAAATCCTCTAAGTTGTCCTCTGACCTCTGCACACGCACACGTGCACACACGCGCACACCACACACACACACACAGAACCCTAAGTAAAAATGGATTTATTGATGCTTAATCAATAAGGCAGGTAAAGTACAAAATGGATTTTTCCTTAGTGTCAAAGGATGGGAAAGGGGGAACACCAAGTGTGACAAGCAGTTAGGTCCCCAGCGGAGGGGAGGGGACCAGTAGCAGAGACGCCCAAACCCAAAGCAATTATAGCAGAACAGCAGAAGAGATTTGAAAGCCCAGTGTGGTGGCTTATGCCTATAATCCTAGCACTCAGGAGGCTGAGGCAGGAGGATTGTGACTTCCAGGTTACCCCTGGCTACACAGTGAGACTGTATCTCAGAAAAGCAGGACATGAAAGATGGCTCTGTTGTTGGTATATGTGCACGGGGGGGGTAGCTGTGCTCATCCGCCCTCTCCTTCTGCAAGGGTTTCGAAGCCTCGGTCACCATCGCTGCCTCTTCATTCGCTCACTCCCTCAGACACACCCTTGATGGCCCAACAAGCCCACAGCTCAACCTCGCTCTCACAACCCCACCTTCCCTTTTATTTTACTATGGGTTTTTGTTTTGTCAAAACAGGTTTCTCTGTGTATCACTGGCTGTTGTGGAACTCACTCTGTAGATTAGGCTGGCCTTGAACTCACAGAGATCTGACTGCCTCTGCTGCCTCCAGATTGCTGGGATTAAAGGTGGAATTAAAGGCGGAATTAAAGGCATATACCTCCACCACCCGGCTACTATCGGTTTTGTTCTGTGACACAGACACTGAGGCCAGGCTGGACTCTAAATTGAAAGTAGCCCAGGATGACCTTGAACCCCTGATCTTCCTGCCTCCACTTCCCAGGTTACTATGTTCAGCTCCATTTTCTCTACAGAACAAACTTTGATCTGAAATGACCCGTTTTATGTGTTTCTAGTTGGATTTCTTGACCTCGAAGGTAAACTGTGTCGTCATGTTGACTGAATTCCTACCACCCAGACCCATGCCTGCCTAGTCCTGGGTACTCAATGCACACTTAATGAACTAACAAGATTCACATTCAATTGGAAGTCAGGGGTTTGAAGGCTGTGAGCAGAAAGGCAGTGCCTGGAGCTCCAGATGAAAGGTGCATCTTGGAGAGCCAGAGAGATGGTCCAGCAGTTAAGAGGGCTTGCTGCTCTTGCAGAAGACTCCCAGCACCCATGTCAAGCAGCCAACAACTGCCTGGAAAGCCACGCCCATGATACCTGAACAATTTGCTGCCTAAATGAGACCCAAACAGCGACCACACCAATAGACATGCAATCTCAAAAGAGGAAAATCTCACTAACCCCTACCCTGGACAAAGAACTACAGGTAATTAATGACTGTTGAGAGAGGGAGAATTAGTCCTTCCCAAGGACGAGCCCCCAAGTTGGTCACCCAATACTAAGTGATCAGCCCAGAAATCATACACATGCAAACAATGCTAAATGGACTTAGCACGTTGTACGCATGTATGTATATGTTTATATATGCGCATGACACTAACAATAAAAAAGTTGCTGTGAATTCTATTCATGTGTTTATATACATGGATGTAACAAAGGAAAGGTGGCCATGAATGTGGAGGGAGAGGACTTGAGAGGGGTTGAAGAAGGAAAGGGAAGGAAAAAATGATGTAAATAAATTTCAATTAAAATTAAAAAATAAAGTTGCAACTTGGAAGCAGTTTGTGGTGGTCCAAACTTATACCTGTAACCACAGCACTCAGGAGGCAAAGACAGGAAGACTATTAGGAGTTCAAGGTCATCCTTGAGTCAGCATCAAAATTAAAAAAAAAAAAAAAAGGTTGCAACTTGGCTCAGTTGGTAGAGTGCTTTCCTAACATACAGGGAGCTCCGGGTTCTATCCCAAGCTTACATAAACTGAGCATGATGGAGCATGTCTACAGTCCCAGAACCCAGAGGGAAAGACAGCAGGACAGAAGTTCATGGTCACCTCTGGCTACACAGCAACTCGCAGGGCTGGGGCAATGGCTCAGTGAGTAATAACACTGTAAGCATGAAGAGCAGAGTTCAAATCCCCATCACCTACATAAAGAGCTGAGCATGGAAGGGGCTGGAGAGGTGGCTCAGTGGTTAAGAGTACTGGCTGCTCTTCCAGAGGTCCCGAGTTCAGTTCCCACCAACCATACGATGGCTCACAACCATCTGTAATGAGATCTGGTGTCCACTTTGGGCCCGCAAGCATATACGCAGACAGAACACTGTATACTAAATAGATTAAAGCTGAGCATGGCTGTGCATGCTTGAGACACCAGCATCAGAGAGCAGGACAGATGGATCCCAAGCGCTCACTGGCCAGTCTCTGATTTCTGATCCTGTGGGAGACCTTGTCTCAAAGGTGAGTAATGGAGGAAGACGCTGGAAGCCCTGCTTGGCTTCTGCATGTGCATGCCTGGACTGGTGAAACACACACACACACACACACACACACACACACACACACACACACACACACACACGCAGTAAAATAAAAATACAAAGTACATTCCAACTGGAAAAGAACAGAAGGAAGACTTGAGAGTCGAGAGTATTGCACAGAAATTGGGGGTGGAGCCCAAGGGGCCCCGGGCAGAGACAGTCAATGCCACAGAAGTACAGCCTTGGCAGACGGCCCCGGCTCCCCCTGCTCTGTCTGCACTGGCCAGCAGAAGGGAGGGAAGAGGAGGAAATCTCCGAGCGGCTGGCTCTTCCCCAAGTGCTGGATTAGCTAAACCCAGGTCTCATGGGCACTACTACCTTTTGCTAACCAGGCATAGTGACACTCAACTCCTTTAATCCCAGCACTCAGGAGACAGAAGCAGACAGATCTCTGTGAGTTTGAGGCCAACCTGGTCTCCACAGTGAGCTCCAGGACACGAAGGGCTACACGGTGAGGTGGGTAGCCTCATAGAATGACATAGTTTTATGGCTTAGAGGCTTGGCTGGAGGCTGGTGATACTATTGAAGAGTGATTGGGTCATGAGGGCAGGACACAGATGACTCACTGAGCAGTCACTGCCGACCCGGCTAGTAGGAGGTGGGACTTAGAGGAAATGGGTCACTGGGGACTGGACTTGATGGGTGTAATCTTTTGTCTTTTCTTTCCCTTCTCTCTCCTCCCTGCAGCCCCCACCTTCTCTGTTCCTGGATGCCATAAGCCAAGCAGCCCCCCTCCTCCTCCATCCCCACCTGGTGTTCCCAGGACCACAAGGCTCTGCCTCAGATCCAAATCGGAGCCAGCTGACCATGAACTGAAACCTTAGACACTGTCAGTCAAAAGAAATCTGCCCTCAACTTGAATAGTTTCCCAACTGTTTGTCACAGTGTCAGACAACTGACTAACACATGGCCCCAAGCCAAGACATGTCGCCAGCCACCGCCGAAGGCTGAAGAGAGTAAGGAGTGAGTCTCCCTGGAGGCAGCCCTGTGAGGGCGACGAGTCTGAACTGCGACCTCCACAAGGGTAATGATACAGAGTCTGTTGTCTGGAGGTACCATGCTTACAGGCTGAGCCTCCTGAATCTGAAAATCCAAACTCTAAAGCGCTCTATAATCCAAAACTCTGAGTGCTGAGAGGGCGCCACAAGAGGGAACTCCTACCCCGAACTCTCGTAACCCTGAGGAGGCATGGGGAAAGAATCTCACAAAACTACCTTCAAGATGGCCGTGGCATCTTAGCATTCAGAAGGCAGAGGCTTAAGGATCACTGTGGTGATATTTTGTTTATGATCTAACAAATAAAGCTTGCCTGAAGATCAGAGTGCAAAGCCAGCCACACTAGTCAGCCAGCGAGGCCAGGCATTGGTGGCACACACCTTTAATCCCAGCAGTCACACTAGCTAGCCATAGAAGCTGGGCGGTGGTGGTGCACGCCTTTAATCCCAGCACTAGAGAGGAATATAAGGCGGGTGGAGACAGGAGCAAAGAGTATTTAGTCTGCAGTCACACTGAGGACAGGAGCGCCCCTTTTGGCCCCCAGCCTTGGTAGAGCTAGGAACTCTCCAGTGGTTGGCTGCTTTGCCTTTCTTATCTTCAGCTTGAACCCCAATATCTGTCTCTGGGTTTTTTATTATTCTTGCTACAGATTACCCTAGCTAGAAGCCAGCTCGGTCTACAGAGTGAGTTCTAGACCATCAAAGGCTACATAACAAACAAGACCCTGTCTCTAAGCAAACAAACAAAGAATTGCTAGGCATGGGCTTACCTCTTATCCAGCATTTAGGAGGTAGAAACAGGAAAAGCAGGAGTTCAAGGCCAGCCTTAGTTACAGAGTAAATTCAATGATAGCCTGGGATATATAAGATTTCTGTCTCAAAAACATCAACCCAAGCAACCAGTCAATCACGATGGGTGGAGTGGAACACCACGCTAATCACAGCACTTAGAAAGAACAGGAGTTCAAAACCAGGGGCTCAGTGGATAAATAGCAGGCTGGGCAAATATAAAGTCTGAGTTTTGATCCCTGCGTCCATATAAAAATCAGGTATGTAAGGCAGCATACACATATAACCCCAGTTCTGGCAGGCGGAGGCTGGCAGATCCCAGGAGGGTCACTAGCCAGCCAAACAAGTTAAAAAAAAAAAAAACCCAACAAGCTCCAGGTTCAGTGAGAGACCCTGTCTCAAAACTATAAGAGGGAGAAGCAACTGGGGAAAACATCCTAACATCAACCTCTGGACGTCACACACCCACACCCACTCACTCTTCAAAACGAGTCATAGATACATATGTTCACGGCCAGTATAGACTACATAAAGCCTGCCTGAGAAACACCCAAAATAAGAATAAATAAAAAAATAAAACTCTTTAAAATCAAGTTACAGGCCAGCAGGTAAAAGCACCGGTAGGAGAGAGTCACCTCCTGCAAGCTGTCCATGGCACAGGCCTGCTCCTTCCCCCACCCTGAAGTAAGTACAAGTGTAATAAAGGAAACCGATTTGCTTCTAAATCACAGGCTGGAGAGGTAGCTCAGTGATTAAGGGCGGGTACTATTCTTCCAAAGGACCCAAGTTCAGCTCCCAGGGCCCACGCTGGGTGGCTCACAACCACCTTTAATTCTTAGCCTCTGCCTTACCAAGGCACCTGCACGCATGTGCACATACCCACACATACATGTACACATAAATAAGAATAAAAAGAATCAAACTTAAAGTAAAATCAAATTACCTTCAGGCTACATGCAGAAGAAGATAGAGGCTCAACAGGAACCAATTTCTTATTCAGACACGAGTCCTGTCCCGGTGGTATTTCATGATTAGACACAAATATTCCAAAATCCAAGGAAATCCCAAAACTCAGATGTTTGTGGTCTCAAGGGCTTGGCTTGTCCTGCTAGTTGCAGACTCAGGACCATCCTAGGGTCCCCCCACACTGTTCCCATCCCTCCTCACCAGAACCGCTCGGCATGCTCAGACCCGGGGAGAGACACGCGGGTCTCAGAACTCCGCAAACCCAAGGTCTGGGTCTGCGACTAAATTCTTATCTCTTCCCCGACTGGAAACCCCACAAGAGCCACTGGGGAGATGCAGATTTTTCCGGATCCTGGGAAAAGTTCTCTGACTCAGTGTCACTGCCCCATGGACCAGCTGAGCAGACGCTGGGAGGCACGGCGGGAAAGAAAACTCCTTCGCAAAAGGCAAAGCCAAGCACACAAGCAAGCCGCCCAAACACGGCCTCCGCACCAGCCGCCACCATATGCTTGTGTTCCTCCAAAAAGGAGTCCGAGAGAACAAACAAAAGGCAGTGTCTACCATCCCGGCTGGGGGAAGAATGACGGGGTTTTTTCCTCCCAGCAACCCATGGTCTCCATTTCCTGTCCTATGGGCTGCCCAGAGGGGATGGAATTGCCCAGGGCCCTGCATTCCAGAACCCTGTCTGTGCTCCACCCATAGCTGGGAGACGCTTGCTGTCCACAGTCTGACTCCCTCTCCCGTATTGCTCAGGCCAGGCTGCATTGCCTGAGGCAATCTTACAATCAGCAATGCCTGGAGGCTGGGGGGGCCCTATGTGCAACACCCCAGGTTCCAACCTTAGTACCCCATAAACCAGATGTGGTGGCACATGCCTAAAATTCTATCACTCAGGGTGGAGGCGGGAGGATGGAGAGGTTCAAGGTTGCCGCACGCCTTCAATCCCAGCACTTGAGAGGGAGAGGCAAACGGATCTCTGTGAGTTCGAGGCCAGCCTGGTCTACAGGGAGAGTTCCAGGACAGCCAGGGTGCTGTTACAGAGAAAACCTGTGTGTGTGTGTGTGTGTGTGTGTGTGTGTGTGTGTATGTGTATGGGTGGGATTCAAGGTCACCCTCAGCTACGTAGCAGGTTCTGGATCAAAGGAGACTCTGCCTATGAGCCCTTTATCTGGAGTCTGAGCTCGTTACTGGATGTCCGCAGACAGGGCTCTGTGCTTTGTGTACATTGTGAAACCTAGTATGCTGAAGACCTGTCCTGCTCAGGTTTTAAATTGTCAAGGGAGGCTCACAAAACAAGCTCTCCAACAGGAAATGGATTGTCTGTCCACTGTGGAACGAACCAGGAGACAAACTTGTGGTGCTGGGACTAAAACTCAGGGCCTCATGAAAACTAGGCAAGTATTCTGCCACCAAGCCTAGCAGCCTTCCTAATTTTTTGAATTTAAAGGGGGAAAACAAGCCAGGTAACCAGAATGGATGAATGGCTCAGCGGTTAAGAATACTTGCTACTCCTACGAAGGACCTGGGTTCAGTTCCCAGCACCCACATGGTGGTTCATAACCACCCATAACTCCAGTTCCAAGGGGTTTGATACCTTCCTTTGATCTCTGAAGGCACCAGGCACACACGTGGTACACACATACACATGCAGGCAAAATACACACAAATTAAAATAGATACTTTTTTTTTTTTTAAGAATGTGATGGCTAGCCGGGTGGTGGCGGCGCACGCCTTTAATCCCAGCACTCGGGAGGCACAGGCAGGCGGATCTCTGTGAGTTCGAGGCCAGGCTGGAACGATAGCCTCCAAAACAATACAGAGAAACCCTGTCTCGTAAAACCAAAAAAGAATGTGATGGCTAACACATGATATCCCAGAGCTCAAGAAACTGAGGCAGAAGGATTGATGCAAACTCCAGGTCATCTTGGGCAGCAAGTCCTACTTTAGCCTGATATATACTAGGAATTCCAGCCTAGCTTGAACTATATAGCAATGCCCCCCACATACCTGTTATAGTTTGAGGCAACCCCCAAAAGACTCATGTCCTGAAGCCATGGTTTCCCCACAGGAGGTGGTTAGATCATGATGGCTCAGACACCGTACCGCTTTTCTGGCTTTGATAAAATACCAGAGAAGCTGGGCATGGTGGCCCACACAGCCTTAATCCCAGCACTGGGGAGGCTGAAGCAGGTGGATCTGTGATTTCAAGGCCAGCCTTGTCTATAGTAGGAGTTCCAAGGCAGCCAGGGCTACATAGTGAGAGAACGCTTCAAAGATGAATTAATTAAAATAACCATACAAGGCCGGGCGGTGGTGGCGCACGCCTTTAATCCCAGCACTCGGGAGGCAGAGGCAGGCGGATCTCTGTGAGTTCCAGGCTGGGCTGGACCGACAGCCTCCAAAACAATACAGAGAAACTCTGTCTCATAAAAACCAAAAAAATAATAAATAAATAAAATGCCATACAGAAAGCACATGAAGAAAGGGTTAATTGGGACACAGTTGGAAGGAATAGAGTCCATCACAGTGACCGGAGCATGGGGCAGCGGGCCACACCGCACCCGTAGGTGGAAACAGACAGGGATGGCGGCGGCTGCTGCAACCACTCAGCTTGCTTTCTCCATTTCCCTCAGAGCCGGCACACCCAGCCTACTGGGTCTATTTGGAAAAAAGAATTTCTTTTTTTGCATTTATTTGTGCATAACACACAAACACGCCATGGTGCGTGTACCCACCCACGGAGGTCAAAGGACAGCCTTCAGTTCACTCATGCTCTCCTCCCGGCAGGGTGGGTTTCAGGGATCAAACTCAGGTCAGGCGGCAGGTGCCCCCACTGAGCCATCTTGCCGGTCCTCGGCGGGTTTATCATTCAAGCCGTTTTCTGAGGGGTGGGGTGACGGGTTAGTGGGCAAAGTGTTGGCTGCACAAGCATACAGACTGGAGTTCCCGTCACAGCACCCGCGTGAGAGGCTGGGTTGGTGGTTGCTGATCTCAGCGCTGGGGAGGCAGAGACAGGCAGATCCCTGGGGCTCACTGGCCAGCCAGTCTAGGCTGACTGCTGAGCTCCAGGTCCTAGTACTGGTCTCTATCTCTAAAAACAACCAGGTGAGGGGAGCTGCAGAGATGGCTCAGCAGCTAAGACGCTTGTTCCTGAAGTGACCCAAATTCAGTTCTCAGCGGCCACATTGGGCGACTCACAGCCACCTGTACCCTCCCTCCAGGTCCACGCACGGCATCTGACACCCTCTTCTGGACTCCTTGGGCACCTGCATGCGCATGTAAGATAGTCTCCCATCCAAGTACTAACCAGGTCCAACCCTGCTTGGACACGTCCAGTATGGACAGGGGTGAGGTAAGGTCTCACTAAGTCTCCTAGGCTGCCCCAAAACTCCGGTTCCAGCAGCCTCAGCTTCCCAAGGGAGGAACAGAGGTGTGCGCTGCCACCCCTGGCTTCAGCATTTCGGTTCTACAAGATAAAGACAGTCACACGACTACAACCGAGGAACAGGACAAAGATACGAGCCTCAACCCTTCCTGTGTGCGCTCAGCTTCAAGCACCTCTTAAATACATCTCATGGCCAACATCTGGGTCTGGAGAGACCCACCCACTGTCTCCCTGAGACGAGTCCAGGATTTCTGGCTCCTGAGGTTCCGAGTTCACACATACCACGCTGAGAGAATTACTGGAGCTGCCGGTATTCCTGCGGTCCAAGGAAGCCCCGATGTTCTGGAGGAGTAGCCCATGCTGGACAGACAGGATCACCCCTGTTGACATCAACTTCTATTTCTGAGAGACTCACTCACCTGGGCCTTCTAAAGAAGATCTCTCAGGTGAATGACATCTGTCATCCCAGCACTCAGGAGGTGGGGGATGGAGGAGGATCATGAGTTCTGGACCAGCCTCAGCCACACAGTGAGAGACCTTGTAAAACCAACCAACCAGGACTGGCTCAGTGGGTGAAGGTACATCAGACCAAGACTAAACGATTTGCATTCGATCTCAGAGACCCACATGGTAGGAGACAATCGACTCTCCCAAGTTGTCCTCTGACTTCTAAGTGTATGCATGGCACACACACACACACACACACACTCACATTCACACACACAAAATAAGCTAAAATAAATAATAATGTAAAAAAATTAAAATAAGCACAAAAGATGGTCTCTGCCCCCAGGAGAGCCTGGCATTTATATGTAGCCTAGCTCAGGAAAAACACGGCCAAGGTCATGAGAACTCACATTTCCTCTCCTTACTGAGTCAAGTTAGTAAATAAGATGCGAAACAATTTCAGCCGATTTAGGAAAACACCTCTTATCCAAGTGTGCCGCTGCAAGCTGCCAGCGCCAGCACTCGAGAGCACAGGGAGTTCAAGGTCATCCTCACCACACAGGGAATTCTAGGACAGTGTGGACAACAGCACTCCCTGTCTCCAGCAATGAAGGAGGAGGAGAAGAAGGGGAGGAGAGGAGAGAACCACCTCCGGGCCAGTGGGACGGCTCGGTGAGTAACGCCAGTGGGACGGCTCGGTGAGTAAGCCAGGTGCCACTAAGCATGACCACCTGCCTTCAACTCCTGATGAAACTCATGCAGCAGAAGAGAAAGGACTCCTGGATGTTGTCTTCCGACACCCCCCCCCAATAAAACAAAGTAATTTTTGTTTTGTTTTGTTTTTAGAGACAGGGTTTCTCTGTGGCTTTGGAGGCTGTCCTGGGACTCGCTCTGTAGACCAGGCTGGCCTCGAACTCACAGAACTCACAGAACTCAGCCTGCCACTGCCTCCTGAGTGCTGGGATTAAAGGTGTGCGCCACCGACGCCCAGCTAACAAAGTAAAAATTTTTTAAGAAAGAAAGAAAACCATCTTTCAGCACTAAGTATGTTTGCGCAATGTCCTTCTGCTCAGGGCCACATGGGACCCTCACCCAACTACCTCCATGAAGGTTCAACAGGGGCAGATGATGTCCCAAGACCTCTGCATCCTTACCCAGGGTTACACTAGGACTCCAGGGTCTCTCTCACGAACATAACTCTTATGCCACTTGCAAATGCAAATTCTGGAATATCTTTTTTCTTTTTTTCCTTTGATAGTGGAGAAATAAGCCAGGACCTGTTCTTAACAGGCCAGTGTGCACCAGTGAGCCACACCCCAGCCTCTCAATGGGGGATTCTAGGCAGGTGCTCTACCACTGAGCCACACCCCAGCCCCTCACTGGGGGATTCTAGGCAGGTGCTCTACCACTGAGCCACACCCCCAGCCTCTCACTGGGGGATTCTAGGCAGGTGCTCTACCACTGCACTACATCTACAACATGGTTGTTTTGGAGACACTATCTTCCCTATGTAGCTCAGGCTAGCCTCCACCTTATGGCAATTCCTGCTTCAGGCTATGGTTGCTTTTGAATTTTGCTTTTACATTTATCAATCTACTGGG